CGATTTCTGACATTGTAAACATGATTCACACCATTTATTTATATCTGTATTCATGTTTGTCCATATATAATTATTGCCAATTAATTTTCTTGTAGTTTTTTTACCAGGATGACTAAGATTGTGGTAACTTTCGAAAATAGTTTTTCTGAAATCTGGCGGCAAGTAAGGACGTACTATTTCAGTGGAAATGTCACAATATATTTTTTTATTTGTATTTGGTACTTGAATTAATGACATACGTAATGATTTATTCTTTTTGAGTTGTTGTAACTCAATGTCATTCTGTTGACTTTTTTCTAAGTCGGATAAGTCGATAACGGTTGGAAGTGATATTGTTTCGATGACTCGTGATAATGCATCGGCAACCGTGTTATCGTGTCCGCTTACATGCTGTATATCTGTACTGAATTGTGATATGAAATCCAAGTATCTGATCCTTCTAGGTGACTCGTCCACCGAAAGTTTCTTCGCAAAAGCATGAGTTAGTGGTTTATGGTCGGTGTATATTGAGAAAACACGACCTTCAATTAATCGTCTGAAGTGTTTTATTGCCATATATATTCCCAATAACTCCCTATCGTAGGTGGAGTATCTCGTTTGAGCTTCTGTTAACGATTTGGAGAAAAATGAAATTGGCTTCCATTCGTTTTTAATTTTTTGGTGAAGAACTGCGCCAACACATTTTAAGCTAGCGTCAGTCATCAATGCGATCCTTGCGTTCGACTCTGGAAACGTCATAGTTGTGACGTCACGCATGTCTTGTTTACATTGTAGAAATGCTTGTTCTGCTTCCGTATTCCATACGATAATTGTTTTATCGTTTTTCTTGCTATTTCTTAAAAATACATTGAGCGGAGCTTGATGCTTGGCAGCGTGTGGAATTAGGTGCCTATAAAAATTCACCATACCCAAATAACGACGTAAATCTTTGACTGTCGTGGGTTTAGGGTAATCGTCGATTGCTTTTAGTTTTTCTTGTGTCGGTTTCATCCCTTGGCTCGATATATGATAACCAAGAAAATCTAACTCATTTTTGAAAAACTCGCATTTGCTCATATTTATTGTAATTCCATTTTCATTTAAACGAGTAAAAATAATTTCTAAATGTTCGTAATGTTCCTTCTCGCTCTCGCTGGCTATCAGAATGTCATCGACAAATATAAAAATAAAGTCTAAGTCTCTGAATAGCGAATCCATAAATCTTTGGAACGTCTGACCCGCGTTTCTTAAACCGAATGGCATTCTTGTAAATTCGAAAAGTCCAAACGGAGTTATAATAGCGGTTTTCTCTGGCTCTGCAGTGGGAATGGAATGATAAGCCTTCCGGACGTCGATTTTGCTGAAGATGGATTTTCCACTAGCAATATACGAGAAATCCAATAACCTTGGAAGTGGATATCGGTCCGGTACGGTAATATTATTCAATGCGCGGTAATCACCGCATGGTCTCCATTCACCATTTTTCTTTTTTACCATGTGCAGTGGACTAGCCCATGGACTGCTTGATGGTCTGCATATGCCAATTTCTATCATGTCCTGAAATTCCTTTTTGGCAGCCTTATATTTATCTGGAGGAAGAGGACGAGCTCGAGCGCATACGGGAAATCCTTTTGTTATGATGTGATGTTTGATCTTATGCTGTACGGGAATATTCATTGATGTAGGCCTTGTGATTTTTTCATATTTTTCCAAAAGTTGCCTTATAGAGTTAGGCAGTTCGGAGTCAATGGAGCGAACAGAGGGAATGTTTGCTTTGATGAAACTTACAGGCGTTTTGAGCTCTGTAACTTTATCTATTAATCTCTTCCCGTGTATATCTACCAATAAGCGGTAGTGCTCTAGAAAATCAGCGCCTAATATAGGCATTTTTACGTCAGCAATGATGAAATTCCATTTGAAGGAACGTCGTAAACCCAAATTTAACGTTAGTGTTTTTTCCCCGTATGTCTTTATCACGGTTCCGTTTGCGGCGAATAATTTTAATTCGCTAGCGCTCTCATTGGTCTGTGCTTGCTTTTTGATCACCGAGATATTTGCTCCGGTATCCACCAAAAATCTATAACCACTGTTAGAGTCGGTTATAGCTAGGCGGTTAAACGGGTGAACAGCACAGAGTTCCGCCTTGTTCTGTGCTGAGCCTAGTTTTCCGACGGCTGTCTTTTATGGTTCCAGGAGCACGGCAGGTCACATTTATATGCCTTTTCTTTAAATCTACGATGATAATAGCAATAATTATTACTCTGTCTATGCGCTGACCGACGGCGTGAATTTGATCTAGATCGGAAATTGCTGCGTCGGTTTATGTGTCGCGAGCGATTTTCGCGTAGTGCAGCAACTTCTAATTGCAGCGTCGCGAGTTGTGAAGACAGGTGTGTGACCGTATTTACGTCAGCGGTGCCTGTTGATTGCATTGTTGTATTAAATCGCATATTTTCATGTATGCGATCGGCCATTTCGCTTAATTTGTCCAGCGTCAATTGCTCAGTAACCGCTAAAACGGTTGTAACTGATGGAGGAAGCTGCCTCATCCATAATAGTCGGATGGTATCCTCATTAATTTTCCCGCAACCAGCTTCTCTCATTTTCCTCAATAACTGGGACGGTTTTTGATCTCCCAAGTTCATTTCTGCGAGCAGTTTGTGGAAACGTCTTTGCTCGCTCTCCTCATAACAGTCGATCAATCTGTCTTTAATGACTGAGTATTTATTCTCTGGTGGTGGATTTGTAAGTATATCGCTGACTTGGTGGACGACCTCTTTTGGCAGTTTGGATATTACTGTATTATATTTATATTCGTCGCCTTGTTTTTGAGGTGCGATTATTGCCTCAAATTGTGCAAACCACAAACGTGGCGAGTCTGTCCAGAACTCAGGTAACCGCTCTGTGACGGTTATTGCAGCGATGTCTATACAGCTAGTGGCAGACATGCCCGGTGTACTAGGCATGTTTGTTCCTGTTAATGGCATAGGACGAGCCATTGTTAACGTTGTGATGAGTTGAACAGCTGGCCAGTATTATATGGCGGTCAGTAGTATGGCAGGGTTCCTTGTTGCGCAGTGTAGCCAACGATTTTTGTGCCTCTTGAATTTCCGTACCGGTGAGACCCGCTTCTGGGAAGCCGGTGGAAATGTGCAATCGTTGGTGGTGCGCAGGATGCCGTCAGCCAGAGATCTCTTGCTTGATCTCGTCGTTTTCCCGTCGGCCAGATCACGTCGGACAGATCACGTCGGGGTCACGTCACACCACTGTTGCGGGTAAATAATACGATGTTGCTGGTCGAGACGATGTATATTACTGATGATGATAAACTGACAATGTGTACATAGAAATAATGATCTTATATACTAAATAACAATAGGAAAATGTAAGGTGGGGTGACACAGTTTAGATACAGCAGTGCCTAGTAGACAATATTGAATTTGTCTTACTAGACATTATTAAATGCATTTATTATTTTATGTATCTAGGTGACTGTGTCCCATAATCGACATAAGTATTATAAATTCACAGATCGGTACTCATTATGAAAGTTTTTTTTTTTTAGAAAATCGTGGTCATTTAGTCAGTCAGAGCGTGGGCGGTCGTAGCGTAGCGCGTGTAAACTCAGTCGGTCAGTCGGCCAGTCCGTTGAGCTATTAGTCAGTCAGTCAGTCAGTCGGCGGTCAGTCCTAGCATGAGCGCGCGGCGGGCGAGCGCGTGGTGCGCGCGCTGCAGGAGCGTGGGCGGGCGCAGCAGGCGCGCGGCGAGTCAGTCAGTCAGTCAGTGAGTCAGTCGGCGGTCAGTCCTAGCATGAGCGCGCGGCGGGCGAGCGCGTGGTGCGCGCGCTGCAGGAGCGTGGGCGGGCGCAGCAGGCGCGCGGCGAGTCAGTCAGTCAGTCAGTGAGTCAGTCGGCGGTCAGTCCTAGCATGAGCGCGCGCGCGGGCGAGCGCGTGGTCGCGCGCTGCAGGAGCGTGGGCGGGCGCAGCAGGCGCGCGGCGAGTCAGTCAGTCAGTCAGTCAGTCGGCGGTCAGTCCTAGCATGAGCGCGCGGCGGGCGAGCGCGTGGTGCGCGCGCTGCAGGAGCGTGGGCGGGCGCAGCAGGCGCGCGGCGAGTCAGTCAGTCAGTCAGTGAGTCAGTCGGCGGTCAGTCCTAGCTTGAGCGCGCGGCGGGCGAGCGCGTGGTGCGCGCGCTGCAGGAGCGTGGGCGGGCGCAGCAGGCGCGCGGCGAGTCAGTCAGTCAGTCAGTGAGTCGGGCGGTCAGTCCTAGCATGAGCGCGCGGCGGGCGAGCGCGTGGTGCGCGCGCTGCAGGAGCGTGGGCGGGCGCAGCAGGCGCGCGGCGAGTCAGTCAGTCAGTCAGTGAGTCAGTCGGCGGTCAGTCCTAGCATGAGCGCGCGGCGGGCGAGCGCGTGGTGCGCGCGCTGCAGGAGCGTGGGCGGGCGCAGCAGGCGCGCGGCGAGTCAGTCAGTCAGTCAGTCAGTCGGCGGTCAGTCCTAGCATGAGCGCGCGGCGGGCGAGCGCGTGGTGCGCGCGCTGCAGGAGCGTGGGCGGGCGCAGCAGGCGCGCGGCGAGTCAGTCAGTCAGTCAGTCAGTCGGCGGTCAGTCCTAGCATGAGCGCGCGGCGGGCGAGCGCGTGGTGCGCGCGCTGCAGGAGCGTGGGCGGGCGCAGCAGGCGCGCGGCGAGTCAGTCAGTCAGTCAGTCAGTCGGCGGTCAGTCCTAGCATGAGCGCGCGGCGGGCGAGCGCGTGGTGCGCGCGCTGCAGGAGCGTGGGCGGGCGCAGGCGCGCGGCGAGTCAGTCAGTCAGTCAGTCAGTCGGCGGTCAGTCCTAGCATGAGCGCGCGGCGGGCGAGCGCGTGGTGCGCGCGCTGCAGGAGCGTGGGCGGGCGCAGCAGGCGCGCGGCGAGTCAGTCAGTCAGTCAGTCAGTCGGCGGTCAGTCCTAGCATGAGCGCGCGGCGGGCGAGCGCGTGGTGCGCGCGCTGCAGGAGCGTGGGCGGGCGCCGCAGGCGCGCGGCGGGTCAGTCAGTCAGTCAGTCAGTCGGCGGTCAGTCCTAGCATGAGCGCGCGGCGGGCGAGCGCGTGGTGCGCGCGCTGCAGGAGCGTGGGCGGGCGCAGCAGGCGCGCGGCGACGCGGTCGAGCTTGTGTCGGTTGCGGCGCGCGTAGTCGTCGGCGTCGCGGAGCAGCGCGGCCAGCCGCGCCGGGTCGGTCTCGTCCATGGCGCAGGGCTGCAGCAGCGGCGGGTTGAGGCGGAAGTAGGCGTCCTCGGGCAGCGTGTCGGCCAGCAGCCGGTGCACGGCCTCGGTGTCGGTGGCGGAGCAGAGCACGGCGTCGAACTTGTCGCGCCAGCCGGCGGCGGCGGCGGGCGGGGCGGCGGCGGGCGCGGGGCGCGGGGCGCGGCCGGTGCCGACGGAGACGAGCGTGGCGCGGCGCGGCGCGAGCGGCCCGTACAGCTGGCGCGCCTCGTGCAGCGCGAGCGCGGCGGGGTTGTTGGCCACGAGCCCGCCGTCGAGGTGCAGGCGGCCGGCGGCGCGGAAGGCGGCGAGGTAGGCGGGCGCGGCGGCGGACGCGCGCACGGCGTGCCACAGCGGCGCGCGCGCCGTGCCCTCCAGCGCGGGCCGCGCGCGCGCCCGCGCCGCGTACGACCGGAACACGAACGGGTGGGCCGCGCCGTCGCCCACCACGCACGACACCAGCGCCAGCTGCACCACAAAAACAAACAAAATAATAATAATAATAATAAGTTATTTCAAAATTCGAGACAAAAAAGAGACAGATGATAGATATTATTGAGAATAGGCGAGAATAATGTTGGGGCACTTGACACGACACGACGAACTAATTAATAACATTATCGAAGGAAAAAAAAAAAAAAAAAAAAAAAAAAAAAAAAAAAAAAAAAAAAAAAAAAAAAAAGATGGAAAGACAGGAAGGGGAAGACCGAGACACAGCTATATCAAGCGAGTAAAAGAAAAAGTTGGAGCCGTGTCGTATCACCAGCTAAAAGGACTGATAGAAGATCGTAGAAGATGGCGAAAGCTTCACCGACAAGAGCACAGCTCTTAAATTATGAATGAATGAATAATAAGATTAATCAAATACGATTGCTACATAGTAAATAATGATATTTGGGTCACAATACCTTCGGTGTGTGGAACCTGTTGCACTGGGTGAGCGTCAGATCGCCGAGATTCTGCTGCAGCATCTCCTCGAACGCCTGCGTGTCGTAATACGACTGCGTCCATACGAGCCGCGACGTGCCTGCGAAAACGGTATTAGTTCTAGTATCGAGATATATGTATATATGAAATATATAAAATCGAGATAATATCGATATATTACTATTACTTCTCGATTACGATAGATCATCGGTTGTGAAATGTACATATAAATTATAAAAAAAAAAAAAAATACCTCCTATCACCGAAGTGTTGCCAAACATTTTCTTGGATAACGTGTGATACATCTCACTGGCCGTGTCCAGGTTACCGACTCCGCTTCCTTAAAGAAAAAATATAAAATCGATCACATTAATAATTCGGTGGAGTTCGGGAGGCTACGATCGCATGAGCGAGCGATATCGAGGAGAGCTAAATATGGAGGACGGTACCGATGACGGCGGCGATGATGGCGCCGGTGCTGACGCCGACGATCAAGTCGAACAGCTGGTGCACGCGGCGGCCGGTGAGCGCCTCGAGCCGCCGCAGCAGGTGGATGGCCGCCAGCCCGCGCACGCCGCCGCCGTCGATGGCCAGCACGCTCGGCCCGCGCCCGCGCCACGCGCCCGCGTGCCCCACCAGCGCCAGCGCCTGCACCACGCCACCCGTCACGACCGCGTCCGGGACACTCGGGCGACGGTCGATGAGTTTATTTATTTCGAATGAATCACCATTCGAAATAAATAAATAATTTAATGGGCATGTGAGAAGATTGAATGAGGATTATAAGAGAGTGCATGGAAATTAAGGATTTGGAAATCGCAACCGAGGAGGAGAGACATTACTAGAGGCAGCTTCCGCTTTTGACTTGGCCATCACCAATACATGGTTTAAAATGAAACAGGATCATTTAATTACCTACACAAGTGGACACCATAAGACACAGATTGATTATTTCTTAGTCAGGAGAAATAAAATCAATTGTGTCAGAGACTGTAAGGTCCTACCGGGTGAGGATCTGATATCACAACATAGACTAACTAGTACTTGATACAAAAATTAGGGTTCAGTATAATAAAAACAAAAGCCGACCGCCCACAAAAATAAGATGGCACATGCTCGAGAGGGATGAGAATGCAATGAAATTTAAACAACACCAATGAATGATGTTGCGGGTGAATAATAAGATGTTGCTGGTCGAGACGATGTATATTACTGATGATGATAAACTGACAATGTGTACATAGAAATAATGATCTTATATACTAAATAAAAGTAGGAAAATGTAAGGTGGGGTGACACAGTTTAGATACAGCAGTGCCTAGTAGACAATATTGAATTTGTCTTACTAGACATTATTAAATGCAATTATTATTTTGATGTATCTAGGTGACTGTGTCCCATAGATATTCCCCCCTTGAGAGAAAAAAATATATATATATTACACACAAAAAAAAATTATTTAAGTTAACTGTAAAATTTAAGATATTATGAACTTTTGTAACAATAAAAATTCATTATACCCAAATAACGACGTAAATCTTCAACTGTCGTGGGTTTAGGGTACTCGTCGATTGCTTGCCATTTTTCTTCCGTTGGTTTCATCCCTTGGCTCGTTATATGATAACCAAGAAAATCTAACTCATTTGTGAAGAACTCGCATTTGCTCATATTAATTGTTTGCGGCGAATAATTTGATTTCGCTAGCGCTCTCTTTGGTCAGTGCTTGTTTTTTATTCACCGAGATTTTTGCTTTCGGTGTCCACCAAAATTCTATAGCCACTGTTAGAGTCGGTTATAGCTAGGCGGTTAGACGGATGAACAGCACAGCGTTCCGTCTTATTCTGCGTCGAATCTAGTTTTCCGACGGTTGTCTATAGGAGCGCGGCATGTCACATTTGTATGCCTTTTCTTTATATTTGCGATGATATAATATAAAATAATAGTCATATTTCTGACTATGCAATGACCGTAGGTGCGAATTTGACCTAGATCTGTAGTTGCTGCGTCTGTTTGTGTGTGGCGAGCGCTTTTCGCGTATATCAGCAATTTCTGATCGCAGTGTCGCAATTAGTGACGACAGGTGTGCAATGACGTCGGCGGTGACTGTTGGCTGTACTTTTGTAGACAGCATTTTTGCTTTATTTTTCCAGTTTCAATTTTTCGTCCAGAGATTATATCCAGCAGGCAGTTGTGTTTACTGGGGGGTCAGTAGCACGGCAGGATCCTTGTTGCGCAGTATTGCCAACGACTTTTATGCCTCTTGAATTTCCGAGCCGGTGAGACCCGCTTCTGGGAAGCCGGTGGAAATGTGCAATCGTTGGTGGTGCGCAGGATGCCGTCAGACAGAGATCTCTTGTTTGATCTCGTCGTTTTCCCAGGTATCGTCTCGACCACGTCGGCCAGATCACGTCGGGGTCACCACTGTTGCGGGTAAATAATACGATGTTGCTGGTCGAGACGATGTATATTACAGATGATGATAAACTGACAATGTGTACATAGAAATAATGATCTTATATACTAAATAAAAGTAGGAAAATGTAAGGTGGGGTGACACAGTTTAGATACAGCAGTGCCTAGTAGACAATATTGAATTTGTCTTACTAGACATTATTAAATGCAATTATTATTTTGATGTATCTAGGTGACTGTGTCCCATAAATGATATGATGATAGAAATGAATAATATGGAAGGAAAATCTGTTAACAAATGTTGGAATGTAATAGCGAATGGAACGAGAGGTATAGCAAAACATATTGTTGGCGAAACAAAAGGGACGAGAATGCTAGAGAAAGATACTTGGTGATGGAATGAAAGTGTGCAACAAATACTGAAAGAGAAGAAAAGAGCGTTTAAAGAATGACAAAAGAGCTGTAAAGAGAATGATAATACAAAAGACGAAAAAAAGGAAGTGTATTTAGGATGCAAAAAGACGGCAAAGAAAGCTGTTGCAACGGCAAGAGCTGAATTCCAAGATAAACTCTACGCCTCATTAGATACTTCCGAAGGCCAAAAGCAGCTCTTCCGACTAGCAAAAATGAGAGATAAGAATACAAAGGATGGAGTATATGTAAAATGTATAAAAGATGATAAAGGAAAGGTTCTAATGAAAGAAGATGATATAAAAGATCGATGGAAAAATTACTTTGAAAACTTAATGAATGAAGAAAATTTATGGAATAAATCGATAGGAGAGGAAATGTGGAGTGAATGTGGGTTTAGTCAGAGAAGTAAGAATGGAAGAAGTAAAACAAGCTGTGCGAAGTATGAAGAGCAGTAAAGCCGTAGGACCAGATGGAATACTAGTGGAAGTGTGGAAATTATTGGGTAAAAATGGATGTAAGTGGCTCACTTTATTCTTCAAGTTGTTGTTGCATGAAGAAGCTATTCTTGAAGAATGCTGCCAAGCATATTGGTGCCTATCTTCAAGAATAAGGGTGATGTGCAAGACTGCAGCAATTATCGAGGAATAAAGCTTATGTCACATACTATGAAAGTGTGGGAGAAAATGATAGAGAGACGCTTGCGAGAGGAGTGTGATATTTCACAAAATCAATTCGGTTTTATGCCTGGCCGAGGCACCGCGGATGCCATTTTTGCACTACGCCATCTGTGCGAAAAATACCGGAGGGTAAATAAAAATTTGCACATGGTATTTGTCGATCTCGAAAAGGCATACGACCGAATTCCCCGTCTAGTTTTGTGGTGGACCCTAAAGAAGAAAGGTGTACCAGGGAAGTATGTAGATCTAATACGTGCCATATACATCCGGTCTAACACATACGTCCGATCGGCGGTAGGTGCCTCCGACAAGTTCAGTGTGGTGGTAGGCTTACACCAGGGTTCGGCTCTAAGCCCTTACCTCTTCCTCATTGTAATGGATGCTCTGACATCAGACATTAAAGACGAGGTACCCTGGTGTATGCTGTTTGCCGACGATATTGTGCGTGTTGGTGAGGATGGAATCGAGGTCCAGAGTAGAATAGATAGATGGCAATAAAAACTGGAGAGTGTTGGCTTGAAGATCAGCAGAACTAAAACTGAATACTACACTCTCCAGTTTCATGCCTATCTGTCTAAACGGGGTAATGCTTCCGGTCTGCTCCGATTTTCGGTACCTCGGTTCAGTTATTCCGAACAATGCCGACATAGACCGCGATATAAGGCACAGAATTAGTGCGGGATGGATGAAATGGCGACAGGTCACAGGAACGATATACGACACCCGAATGCCCTTGAAACTAAAGGGTAAAGTTTATAAATCTATCATAAGACCTGTCATTTTGTATGGATCTGAATGTTGGGCCGTAAAGGGGATGGACGAAAGGCGTGTGCATGTGGCAGAAATGCGAATGTTAAGATGGATGTGTGGGGTTACCAGGAATGACAGAATAAGGAATGTGTATATACGAGGAAGTTTGAAAGTTGCGCCGGTAATAGAAAAGTTACGAGGTAACAGATTGAGCTGGTATGGACATGTTATGCGGAGGAATGAGGACCATATCTTATGGAAAGTGTATACTATGAATGTGGATGGATGTAAAGGGAGGGGACGCCCTAAGAAAAGATGGATGGATTGTGTGAAAGATGATATGAATAAAAGAATAGTATGTTCAGATATGACGACCGATAGAGAGCAGTGGAAGAGAATGACATACTGCGCCGACCCCAAATAATGGGATAAAGACAAGGCAATGATGAATGGTACGACTAAATAATAAACTTTCTTTTTGTTATATGGATATCCTTAATCAGCGAGTGCACTATAATCGGATGGACTGTTAAATGACAATGCAAGTCTGTAGTCGACGGAGTGCATGACTATTTATTTAATCGATGCCTCCGGCGATATGTTGAGGTGTCAAGAACTGAAGTATACTTTATCCGACTCCAGTATTTGTGTGTTTTTTCAGAAATATTGGGAGGTCGTTAATGAGTAACCTCTGGGTTAGATCATTAGGGTGGACATTCAGCCGAGCGTTATATTTTGAGCTTGCGCTAACACGCTCCTCTCAAACTGTGAGTAAATTCGAAAAATGATGGATCTTCAAGTTGTTTATAAACCATGGTTCCTTAAGAATTGTCTTTAAAATGGCGTTCTGGAACCGTTGAAAAATTCCAATATTGGAGCTACTAGCGCTTCTCCACTTGTAGGGTAGGTATAATAGCTATAAATACTCTAGCCACTTGTTTTCTTGATAGAAAACAAGTGGCTAGTTTATAAAATGTACGGCCTCTTAGGTAAAAATTCTAACTTCTTGATAGAAGTTAGAGTTTTTACCGAAGAGGCCGTACAAATTCCTGAATTTGAGATTGGTTCGTCTCGTCCAGGAGAGCCTTCGATCCAGACGAAAAAAAAAAAAAGTAATTCAATTGAGTTTCTTGTCAGTTCTCAATTGCAACTATATACCATACTGGACGGTGGGGAAAAGATTAAAATTATAATATATAGATATATATAAGACCTAGGGAATGCCAACTCGTAACCGGCAGCCGACGCTCACTACGCTTCATAAGGCGACTATATTAATCATTTTAGTAGTCTTGTAGGGATTGATCTGTACTGATAACTATAACTGATTTATTTTGTTACTCAAGTAACATTGGTATTTTGTATTCACAACACAAAGATACGTACCTCTCAAACTACGCCGCCTAGTTCCTTACTGATAGCTTCATCAGAAAGTTTGTCCTGCACTCGCAGAAGTGCTCTCACCGCACCTTCCTGCAAATAAACAACAAATATTGTATGAGACCCATTTACTTTGTGACATGCTGAAGCCGGTGCAAGTAAGCGTGGAGTGGTGACATACTCAGGAATGAAACAATAATTGAAGTTACAGCTGTCCGTGTCGCCAGCGCATATATATATATATATATATATATATATATATATATATATATATATATATATATATATAGCGTAAGGATGCACTGCATAGGGGTCGTTATCTACGCACCAGCGGTAGGATCAATTTAATTACCAAATAACATACAGAATTTTATTTTACAGGTCCAGTTTGTAGACGCGAGGCTCGTCGGCTACACATGCATTAGAGTGGAAAATTAAATTGGCCATAAAGCTCATTTACCTAATACAGGATGGGAAGGTATTAATTTTTTTTTTTTAATTCTTTTTAATTTCAACTCAGTTTAGGCTCCGTTGATCAGTAGAACATGACAGAAGAAATAATATATAATAGGTGTGTGTCAGTACCTTGATGGCGTAGTCCCTGGCTTCAGGATACTGCTGGAGGTGGTCGATGAAGTGCTCGATGCGCTTGAGGAGGCACTCCTCGCTCTCCGCGGTCACAATCGCTGATATCACGTACGCGGTGCGAGAGTGGATCGACGACTGCAAACCAAACGTAACAGATATGAACACAACCAATACTTTACTATATATATACAATTATACATACATCTATACTGACTAGGATAAAAAATAAAGGAATTAGTGAGCGTCCTGTGTTTTAAGCATCTACATAATTAAATACAAATTAATTTAATTTCATGTCATTCATATCAATTTAGATGCCTTCTTTGAGTGTATTTTAAATATTGGGGTGGGCATCATGATCAACGGTGTAATTACCATTCATGGTGCCCCGCATATAATGTTTGTTAACATTTATGTGGTTGTAGGATGTTGTGGGAGACAAGTCCCATATTTATGTTACTACGATTTAGTATAAGATTAGGAAGACAATGTATATTTAATGATTTATTATTATATTTATCTTTATTGCACTTTTATATATAATAATAATACTAATTAGGGACAGTGTTAGCAATGGTTGAAATTTTCCAAATGCAGCGTGGCATAACTAGTCATACTCTCATAAATAAAATAGTAGTTGATGGTAGGAGGGTGATAATTTAGGTGTATTTTTAATACCACACTATAAAGAATAAAACAAGAAATACAGGTGGACAACCCTTATCACTTAGCAGTATCAAAAATGGATAGTAGCCGATTCTCAGACTTACTGAATATGCATATAAAATTTCATAAAGATCAGTCCAGCCGTTTCGGAGGATATGGTAAGTAACATTGTTACATGAGAATTTTATATACAAGATTAACTATGTGTTCTATAATATTATACATTCATATACTGCAGTACTGTCAAGAAATTACAATAGGGACAGTGTATTATATTAACTTATTTTGTAGCAAAACCATTTTAAATGTAAATATTTATGTTTAGAAATAATATCACCTGTCAGGCACATGATCTGTACAGTGATATGATAATGAATATGTAAATATCAAGTTACTATCTGACACATTTCAATTTGACAAAGCTGTTATCTGTAATAATAAAATTTGATAACTGCTCATACACAGTCATGTTGTTTTGTTTTGATATACCTATATATTATTTTGAGTAAGCACTTACTGATGTTTACATACAAAGGCAGAGTCGATCACAGTTGAGAAGCATAGAACATTTAGAAAATGTCAGACATTAGTTCAATTGGGCACTCTAACTTCATAGTTTAGTGCTAATTGGTGGTTTGTATTCACACACTTAAACTTAAAAATGTAAAGTAATAATCAAATTATTAAATTAAAAGAGCAACATACAAGTTTCTTGCTCTATCTTCTTGTGATGAGACAGCTTTCTGGATGAGCGGTAGACTAAAAAAATGTGATGACTATTCAAAAGTGCTTCAATGTAAGTTTATTTGAATAAATGATTTTCTATTCTATTCATACATCATCATATTTCATAGGTCAAAATGTTGTACAAACTCATACATAAATTAAAACATAGCATATGTCAGAGTATTTCACAATAAAAACCAATATATATTAAAAAATATATCGATTATACTTAGTTAGTGACTTGGCAGGTCATAAAATTTGCATGATAAAAACAATTAATTAATATGATAAGTGTTCTCACTTGTAATGATTATCAAGGACAAGTTATCATATTTGCTGGCGCATGTTAAACATACCTCTTCTTTAATATTTTACAATGTGTTTTTGTAATTACCATTTTCATAATCATAATCATTTATTTGCAACAAATATTATACCAATTATAAATAAATTTTATATGCATATTCAGTATTGATGTATTATTTTTTATTTTTTGGACATTCTTTATTTTTTTTATAATGTGTCACATATTAAAAAATACTTACAACGCTAAATTTTCAGCCTTCTATCATCAACCCCTATTTGTTTAATATATATATGGCAAAGCTAAGATTATCAAATTTTACTTACTTTGTGTGTTATTATATGATGTTAATGTCACAAAAAAATTAATAGATATGTTGTAGTCACCTTCGTGATGATTGGTTTGTTGGTCTTCCAACTGGGCTCCGAGATTCTGCCCAACGAGAGGTCTTTCTTCAACTTGAGTCCCTGCCACAGCCCCTCAAATGTGATCTCCTTGGCCTCGGAGCCCACCAGCAACCCGTCACTGAATTTATCTTCTTTCTTGTCTTCATTTTTGTCGACACTGTCTTTGCTTACGGTTGTTGTTTCCTCCGCAGCGCGGGCTCTCACTACATTCTGATCCTTGTTCTTATGTTCTATCTCCTTCAATCCTTGAATGAGTCTCATAGACACTGCCTTCTCAAATATACTAATTAAATCTGAAATTAGAGAAATCAACTAGTTACAAACACAATCTATTCTGATGTACATTTTAATATGTATTGATCTTGTTCAACTTAAATACATTATATGCAACTTACTGTCCCATTGTTCTGCAGTGACGGGCTTAATTTTCTGTACGAGTTTCTCTAGCTCTGTATTCAAATTGGACACAGAGAGGTAGTGTCTTATCAGCCTCCACTGGCTTCCCAACGACGACATATTAATTCGTTTTTGCACTCTACATATAACACAATAGTTGCCAAAAGCTAGTCAAGCACTGAGTGTAAATTGTACGCTACGAATTCAATACAAGAAGTGGTGAAAGGAAAACACTTGATAACACTATTCCTTTTCTTAGATATTTGTTAAAGTTTCGATGGAAAAATCGCGAACACGCCACAGGTTATAACAATATATTTTTTATTAGTTCATTTATCAAGTTTTAATAAGTAATGTTTGTTTCACAAGCACATCTAAAACATAATAGTCGGTATTTAATTTAATAATATTAAAAAGAAACACAGGAGTAGTTCGCTTTCTAGTTAACGTGAATTTGTTATGACAATTTATGACAGTTCTAGTGACGTCAAATCGAATGATCGATCAGTGCTACCAATCACAACTAGCAACGATCACTTTCACTATCCCAGTTTATTTATAGTAAACATTAGCTGAGACGCTGAGTCAATGACACTTAACCATTACAATAACTTTATTTTAAATTTTAAGTTATTATTCTTTGGTCACAATTATTTTTGCTTGAACTGTTGCCGCTGCAGATGAAAAATTCTAACTGAGCATTTTTATTAGCGACTGCGAGTTACATTCATAGTAAACATAATATATGATTATCCACGACGCCACACCTAACCACATCACCAGTGATCACCAGTCACCACGCCTCCCGCGCGATTCAATGAAAACGACGTGATGTTTTGTAAACAAAAATCGTATGATCGTGTTTTGTATCAGATCCAAAACAACTTCCGCGTCAAGGCTATGACTGTACAGACTATAAATGTTGTGTGTCACGTATATCAATGATAACTAAAACTATTTCATACATTTGTATTTATATTCATATGTCCCTTTCTAGATATGTATTTGTTGTTAAATAAATGCAATATATCTTAAATCTCATGTCGGCTTATTTAATGAATTGTCACTTACATAACAACCCTCTAGTGATCTCATTAGTCCCTAGTGGGCAATGCGGGTACCGTAATCCTCCTAATATTAATCCCAATATCACTAACATATGGGATAGGCAAGTTGGAAATAGACAGACTATTATTGTAGAGTGTATAATATGCTCCTGTTTGGGTGCTCATGGCAAAGAAAAACAATTTAGGTTTTCTAACACAGTAGGGCCCCTAGACTAACAGTAATACTCATTAACCTGATACAATCGACTATATTAACCACGAATGAACAACAACACTAGGGTAATGGCAAGTGTATAGCCGGCGTTTTAAGAAGAAATATTTTTTCTTTTACCTTAGGTGACTAACAATTCAGGGCCACTGACAGCCATATATCGATTATAGAGAATAAAATGAAGGACATCTAGACATGCAAGTTTCTCGTAGTTGGTACCTACTGACAATATCTGGTAGTCGACCGGTGAATGACACGAGTGCGCGCCTAAGTACTTTCCGTACTGTGGTATCGTATTTGGTATTACCGTATCCGTGAAATATGTTTTTAGAGCGGCCCGGTCACGGTTTGGTTCACTATTCACATATCAGTGAGTGTACCTAAGTCACGTACACTACTATCGCAACAGTATAAAAAACGAACGATCATAGTACATACTTACCTTATTATAATTATCGTAGTGCATATTGATTAGGTATCAGTGAAGGTTTTTTTATATATTTCGAATAGCAAACAAGGTGACGGGCCACATCGGGCTGATGTCAAGTAGTGACCGTCGTATATATACATACGTACATATAGTGCAGCATTGACGTCACGCTATTATGTGACGCTCGCGGTACCGCTCATGCGGCGTCATTCCGGGACATTCATATTTCATGCCACTTATCCTATTTCCCTGCCTTATCTCACCCTCAGACCCTTGCCTTACAACCGAGACACAATTTACAGATCAAGTTGCGTGATGACTTACATACCCCGGACAGTGGTCCTATTCAGACGGGGATCGATATTACAACAGTCTGATCCGAGGTTCGAACTCCTAGAGGATCCCTTAGAGTAAAGTCATATCCATCAGGCGGTAGTTGGCCTTCAGCCGCACTTTAAGCCTTCCTGCGGGATTGGATTATCATCTGCACTCGTCCCCGATGGTTTAGTGAGGCTGTTGGAGGTCAGTTGGAGCCGTATTAGAACAGCATTAGAGTAGTCCGAAAGAAAATTAAAATGAAAAGCAAATACTTAATGATATACTTTATTATGTAAAATATGTTTGTTACATTACTAATAATACAATTAATTTAAGTTTTAAATATGTCATCATGGGACATGCTAGTAGCGGTAGTCACGGGAGGGCGGCGGCGAGCGTGGCCAGCCGCGGGGCGGCGGCGGCGAGGGCGAGGGCGGGGGCGGGGGCGGGGGCGGCGCGGCGCGCGTTGCGGCCGCATACGGCGGGGTTGATGGCTGCGGCGTGCAGCTCGCTCACCTGCGTGGAGCACGCCGCCGCCGGGTCGCCGGACGACGTCAGGTTGCCCACCCTGACATTAACACACCACAAATATACCACACAATCCAGCCCGACACTAAATACGACGGCCCCGGTGGTCCAGCGGTTAGCACGCCGCGGCGCCTTACTTCCGATGGTCGTGGCCATAAACATTTGTATTAATGAGTATGATTTTTTATAGGATGTTGTATTTACGAAAAAAAATGTATCTATGTATAGCATCAGTTATCTAGCACCCATAACATAAGCTTTAGCTAGCTTAACTTGGGTCTAGATGGCGCTGTGAGAATTGTCCTGAGATTATTATTATTATTATTAATACGATCGTTTTCATTCTAAATTTACGACCAACGACCGATCCAAGTATTTCGTATCAATATAATTTAGAATCATCTATTTTAGATATGTTTCAATTACCTATCTATTACTAAATGAATAAATAAATTCATCAATCATTACATAGCATAAAATAAAGTCGCTGTCTCTGTCTGTCCGTCCCTATGTATGCTTAAATCTTTAAAACTACGCAACTGATTATGAAGCGGTTTTTTTAAATAGATAGAGTGATTCTAGAGGAAAGTTTATGTATATAATATGTAACATGTACACCCGTGCGAAGCCGGGGCGAGTATCTTATACTTAAACGAGTTCAGAAATATTCACACTTCATTGCTACATAAAGTGCATATTTGAGTCTTTCTTAATTACCACACACACTAGCACACTGAACGTACCAGAACTCATTCCCGGGATGTGCGTTGCCGTCCCAGGCGTACGTCATGACCAGCAGCTTGCCAGCATGCTCGCCAACCAGCGCCGACGACGGATCACGGTTCTCCACTTGAACACTGATGCCTCCTGCGAAAATAAACATATTACCTATATATGTTTACTCCAATTTACTGGTATGAGTAAGTATCAGCATTGACTATTCACAAACAAATGCTGATACTTACTGCTATTATTCTGAAACTAAAGATAATTCTGAGAGCTGATTAAATAATGAAATGGGCTCGGGCTGTATAAATATGGAATTTTTAAAACTTTATTATGTGAAGAGTGTGGGCAGAGTATATATATAAATAAGTGACGGCGACCTACCTTTAGGATGGGCTTCATTTTCCAGAAATAGTTTTTTCACCGTGGACCCTTCAACAGACTTGAACAGAGCTGCAACAGAACAAATTAACGAAACATTATAAAAGTTTACAGTTTTAACAACGATCTATCAATAACAATTATACGTACATATTAACATATAACATTTTATTCAGTGCTCACCAGATGGCGTTGTAGAAAATAATATTAAAAAAATATATATTTCATATTTCCGAGGGCCCTGCTTCTGAACCCTCGGAAGGGATTTTTGAGATATCGATCTTTTGAACCTCGATTTTTTTGGAAATCGATTTATCAGACTTCGATCTGAATCGATTAAGAATCAATGACTTTCGGAAAGGATCGCCCCATCCCTAGTTTGTTGGAACAACATTTACTACATATGATTACTTCCTCCCTTCCTCTGACATATTATACATATATTGTAAATAGCAAAATAAATTACAAATATCGACTCAGGACTGGCGAAGTCATAAATCATAATGTAATCTATACATATAAATAAAATTGAACTGTCTGTTTGTAATATTGAAATAATCGTTTTTTACTACATGCATATGAATATAAATACGGTACATACACCAAAATAACATTATTACAATTTTTGTCTGTCTGTCTGTCTGTCTGTTTGTATCGGCTAATCTCTAAAATGGCTGGACCGATTTTCACGGGACTTTATGTGACAAGGAGTAACTTAGGCTACTATTTTAGAAAAATAAAGTTAAATTTCACGCGGACGAAGTCGCGGGAACAGCTACTCACAGTAATAGAATACTACCTACCTATATGTAAATACATATACTTACGCAGCACGCCCTCCCCGAGTTTAATGTAAGCGAAGTTGACGTCTGACACGTTGTTGAGCGCCCCGTCCTCGAGCAGGGCCAGCACGCGCAGCAGGAACGTGAGGACGTACAAGTCCTCCTGGTGGTGGGATATCCTCCACACGCCCAGACCTGTCGGCGTATCGCCATCACATATGTACAGTCATTATCGACATCTTGACGACATTACAGTTTCACTGTAGATAGCAGATTTGATAATAGAGAACTATTTATAATAAATGTTCAGACATGTGGCGGCGTGGCGGGCCGGGTCATTGGGCTCCCTAAAATATGGTCGAGCGCAGTGGTGGTTGGCTCATCCGTCATACTCGTGAACGAGTGCCGTCCGTGGGGACCGGTCTGCTCTTATCACTACGACTGATTTAATCTTATTGTGTTTTTATATTTGAGCCTAAATAAATTAGTGCCGGTTGGTAGTTTGTATTCACACGTTTCGACTCGTAAATTGTGAACGAGGATCGTTTAAAAGAGCAACACACAAGTCTTTCGCTTATTCTTCTCGCGATGAGACAGCTCTCCGAATGAGCGGTACATTTAAAAATAAATTATTGACTATTCAAAAGTGCTCAAATTAAGTTTGTTTTAATGAACGATTTTCTATTTTTATGCTATAAAATAACAAATAAAAATTATATTGTAAAAAGTTTGACGTTCATGAGCGGCTAAAATGTCCTACGTGAATAAACGATAGTGTAATCAGTGTGTACCCGCTCCGACGACGTTGAGGAAGGCGGCGGTGTGTGGGGCGGCGGCGGCGGCGGCGGCGGCGCGCGCGTCGGCCTCCAGCAGCGCCACGTCGGCGAGCAGCGCCAGGCGGCGCGAGTAGGCGGCCGCGTCGAACACGTCGCTGCCGATGGGCCGCCGCGTGTACCGCGCGCGCAGCACGCGCGAGTCACGCGTCGCCTCCTCTATACTCTCCGCTCCCGACGTCACCTCCGAGTACGTCCTGCTCGGGATCTGGAACCGGTGCGGGTTTGTTAGCACTCGTTTATTTGACGACCCAAAGACTATAAACAGTTCAGGCTTCATCATGCAAGACAATGTTCGAGGGTAGCCTCTAACAAAGATGTTCTACTCGCATTTTTATATACCTCTGACCCATATATAACAAGTTTAAGAAAACCTTCCAATAAAAAATATTTAGTACTTTTTGATGAAGCAAAGGAGCTCTTGAGTGACTTGTAAGCCATCTTTATAAGAATTTTGGTTTTTTACGCTGATACTTTTACTTATTTCTGTATAAACTTCTTAGGACATAAATGTAAGTCTACAAATTCTATATTTCTTGTATTCCTAAATTATTTATAACTATTAGAAATATTTTTTTACTCACAAAGCATACATTATTTAAAAGTATATATATTTAAGATTATCAGGAAAAAAATCATGTACATATCTTTATTAATACAGAAGTTATAGATTTATGAGACGAAAATGAGTCAAAGTTCCCACTGTGCGGCGGTCTAGCGGTTACACACCGCTTTACGTCCGACGGTCGCGGGTTCGATTCCTCCTTCGGCACGAACGTTTTATTCATGAGTATAGTTTGTATCGGTCTGGGTGTTTTCTATGTATGTGTTTACGAAAAAAAATATCTATGTATTTGTGTTATTACCCAAGACACTAACTTTAGCTAACTTAACTTGGATCTAGATGGCGCTGTGTGAATTGAGATTCTTGAGATTATTATTATTTATGTGAGCGGCGGCCGATTTGGGACAGTAAAATACTGTAATCGAATAAGATTTCTAATATCTGGGTGGTTTGAAAAGTTTCCGAGCATCTTTTGACAGTTACACACAAAAATTTACACGCAGTTTTTAGTAGACAACCGTTTAAGTGAGTCGATGTATTTGTGTAAAAATGAATGTCGAGCTGTTGAGTTATTAAACTTTGTTTTTAAAGGCAATACGCCAGTGCAAATCATAGATGAGTTGGACTCTGCATATGGGGGACTCCTCATTGTCATATCGGCACAGTGAAGATTCCGGCAGCTGAATGTAAACGTGGCCGTACGAGCGTGTCAGACGATGAACGTTCGCGACCTCCAAACACTGCAACTAGTGACGATAACATTGCATATATAACCAATATTACTTTTGGTACAAATTATGAGACAAAATTACAGAAAGATTTTAACAAATACCAAAATTTTTAATCCTATTGGAGTAGGGACTAGACTAGGTGGCCCTAATCCATCGCGGGCCCCGGGCACGTGCCCCGTGTGCCCCGTGTGCCCCGTGTGCCCCGTGTGCCCGGTGGGGAAGAGCGGCCTGTGTATAGATATACACAAAAAGAACCACTGGAATCGCAAAATATTTTAGAATGCCACTCGTGGACATATGACCTGGTAGAAGTCCGCCCACAGTTTCCTCCACATTTGCAGCGCGGTCGCGGACCCGTCCGTAGGTATCGGTCCGTATCCAAATTCCGTGCGATTCTGTTCGTATGTGATGAGTATGTCTTCGCAATCCATGCGCCCTGGACGCTGGAAACGAGGCCCAATGATACCTGGAACAATGCGCATTGAACAGAATTATAATTTAAAAAAATATCTTTACTTATTAAGTTCTGCGTTATGCTAACACTTAGAATAAGTACCTATCATTACTTTCGACTGCCTTTTGTAGTGTTACATCCAAAAATTACATTTTATAATCAATCTAGTCAATAAAGTTTTAGTTTAAGTTTTAATTTACGCAGATGTAAACCGAGTGCTAAAAAAATACTCCTTCCTGTTAAATTTATTTGCTTGGTGATCTAGCGGTTTAGCATACCGGTCTACTTCCGATAGTCGTGGGTTCAATTTCTCATAATACGAGCTCTGCTTAGCTTTGAAGTTATTATTATTATTATTATTTCTATTAAAAACTGTAATTTTAGTATTTATTTACATATAATAATAATATAATATACCAGTACAGTTCACAGCGCCATCTAGACCCAAGTTATGTAAGTTATCTAAAGCTTGTGTTATGGGTACTAGACAACTGGTACAAATACATAGATACCTACATATTATATATAGAAAACACCCAGACCGATACAAACAAACATAATTGAGTGTATATTTACCCATAATAATGGCGTCGGTCTGTATGTTTTGCTCTGCGACTCGTCCGGCGTTGTGCCGCGAGCCGCTGTTGATGCAGGTGGTGGGCCCGCTCACGGTCACCAGCGCGGACACCTTCAGCTCGTCGTAGCTCAGGTAGTCGGCCAGCACCAGCGGCGGGAACTCGCTCGGGGTGCCGATGTTGTCCCAACCGCCCGCACTTCACAACAACAATACATATGTTTAGCTTTTATAATAACGACTTAACTTTATTTGTTACCGGCCGAACAAGAACTTACAGCTGATATATTGAATTGAAAAAGGATTTCTGGAACCATTCGCTAACTATTTGACGCTGCTTGTGGGTACTGGCAACAACTGATTACGCTATTTGCTTTTGCAATATCATATGCTGGTGGTCACTCTATTCTCCCAAGTTTGAATTTAAAAATTAATCTGTATTATTGTATAATATTAATTTGAAACAAATACAAGCTGAGTTTCTTATCAGTTCTTCTCATCTCGGAATCATTCCGAACTGACGGTAGATTTGACATATCATGAGAGTCTGCAATAGACCTACATGAATAAAGATATTTTGAATTTAAATTTGAATTTAATTTGAAAAATTAGTTTTTTGATAATTGTAGATGTACAAATAATAGTAGCTCCGTTGTAAATTGGTTGGTTTGTTTTAAATTTTTGTCACGTCAATACACAATACTAACAGCACCTATTACGTGATTGTGTATATAATATGTAATGTTCAGTGTATATGTAGTTACCCCAACTCGCCCGTCCGTAGTTTGTAAAGGTCCTGTTTGGACATGAAACATATAGACCTCTTCTCCAGTATCCGGTCAATGAACTCTACCACGGACATTCTCTCGTACAGTTTCTTCTCGATGTCGGACCCGTATTTCCTGAAATAATTTACATCGACCTTAGATAAAGAGACAGACCACACGGAAAACAACCCTTTGTTGGTGACACATTATAGAATTTAATTAATTAATAAGTGAATAATTAAAACATTATAATAATAAATTACTCATAAACATATTTTGTCTTACTAATATTATGGACGCAGAAGTTTATGTGTGGACGGAAAAGTGTTTGTTACATTCACGCAAAAACTACTGAACGGTTTTTGATGAAATTTAAAGTAATATAGTTTACACATTAGAACAGCGCATTGGCTATGGTTTAAAAAGATATATATATATATAAATGTGAAATAAGTGATATGCAGACGAAGTAGCGCGGGTCATCTAATGAAATGTTATGTAATGATATATTGGTCATGTTATGAAATAAATTTGCAACTATCGCCTGCATATATTTTAAAAAATAAAGTCAAGACAAGTTAAGTTAAATTAAGTGGTACTAATGATAAATAATATCACAAAGATTAACAAAACGTATAAATATGCAAAGTCTAAAAAGAAATATATATATATACATTCATATATTTAAGCACGTATATATACAACTATTAATTACTAATTAATGTGTAGGTATATATGTCTAGACATATAAATAAAATTGGACTGTCTGTTTGTAACCGAAACGAAATAACCGGTTTTTACATGTTGCATATGAATATAAATACGATACAGACACCAAAATAACATTTTTTACAATTTTTGTCTTTCTGTCTGTTTGTTCCGGCTCACCTCTAAAATGGCTGGACCGATTTTGATGGTACTTTTTTGGGCAGGTAGGTTAATAAGGAGTAACTTAGATTACTTTTATTTTAGAAAAATATCGTTAAATTCCACGCGGACGAAGTCGCGGGAACAATGTATAATAATATGTATGTATTTAGTTGGTAATGTAGCATCCCCTCCAGAGGAACACATCAAACAATTAAAACTTTAGCCGGATCAAATCGCGGCTGAAGTAAATAATATATATATATATATGAACAAATAAAATTAATAAAAAAAATATCTTTTGTGTGATGACAGAGTGAAGAGGTCGGTGTACCTCTTGTATACTAGAAAGTTGGCCATGAGGATCAGCACGCGCTCGTGGAGAACAGGGTAAGTGGACCTTATATTTTCTTTCAGCTTTTCAATGGGCCTTCTGGTTATAAGTTTCTTCAATCTGAAATTAATAATAATAATAATAACAATCTCAGGACAATTCACACAGCGCCATCTACTCTCAAGTTAAGCTAACTACAGCTTGTGTTACGGGTACTAACAACTTAACTTTTTGTTAATTGATACATATAAAACACCCAGACAGATACAAACAATCATACTCATGAATACAAATGTTTGTGCCGTGCGAGGATCGAACCCGCGACCATCGGACATAAAGCGGTGTGCTAAACCGCTAGACCACCGAGATCATCAGATATATCAAATCAATATCAAAATAAGCAAACGGTTTATTTATAATAAAATTAAAAAATAAAATTATATAACTTGTAAACCCTATTCGACATTTATGAATCTCTAACTTTATTTATATGTATAGACATATAAATAAAATTGGTGTAAAAGTGTCTGTTTGTAATATTGAAATAACCGTTTTTTACTACATGCAAACCAATATAAATACGGTACATACACCAAAATATTTTTTTTTACAATTATGTCTGTCTGTCTGTTTGTTCCGGCTAATCTATGAAATGGCTGAACCGATTTGGACGGGACTTTTTTTGGTAGGTAGCCGATGCAATAAGGAGTAATTGAAGCTACTTTCATTTCAGAAAAATAAAATAAATTCTACGCGGACGAAGTCTCGGGAAAGATTTGTATTTTTGTGTGATGAATAAACTCAAAAACTACTTCGCCGATTCTTTAAAAAATTCTTTCACCATTAGACAGCTACGTCCGCCGAGCAACACAGGCTAATTTATTGGGAAAAAAGTTTAGGGATCCTCACTAAAACTTTAGTAACGTAACTCAAGGTGTAAAAGATGCTGGGAAATATAATGACACGTCGCGTGCGCTGCGGAAACTATTGGTGATAGAACAAAAGTATGTTCTACAATATTGAAAAAATATCAATAACTAGGATCAGATAGAAATGTACAATGTTGTACAAATGTCCACTCGTGCGAAGCCGGGACGGGCCGCCAGTGTTTATGGCATATGTGTGGGTGTTACCTGACTGTGTCAATGGGAAACTCGATGGGAAAGTCGTCGCTTCTTTTGATGATCTCCTGGACATCATCTATTACCTCCGGTTGAGTTATGTTTTTGCATTCTTCTAGTAACTCTCTCGCCTCGTCGCTTATAATAGGGGGGCCCCATGGCTCTTTAGACCTGAAACCATAAACAATTCCTTCATAGATTTTGTTGAAATGGACACAATTTTTTTTATTTAATGTAATTTTACTTTCTTTTTGAGGTAATGTACAAAATATATTAGGAACTAGCTGTTCCCGCGTCTTGGTCCTTTTATTTTCTAAAATAAAAGTAGCCTAAGTTACTCTTCATTAGCTACCTGCCAAAAAAAGTTCCATCAAAATCGGTCCAGTCATTTCAGAGATTAGCCGGAACATATAGACAGACAGACAAAAATTGTAAAAAATGTTATTTTGGTGTATGTAACGTATTTATTATATATTAATATGCACGTAGTAAAAAAAATGGTTATTTCAATATTACAAACAGACACTCCAATTTTATTTATATGTATAGGCTACGATAACCATTATTTACCACCATAGTAGTATAAAAAAAATTAAATATACTAATCTTGAAATTACTTAAAAAAACGCAATTGTTATTATCATAATAATCTTGTAGCAGATTTGTTTCTGTAGTCCGTAACTACCGTAACTACGGGTATTATGGATTTATATATAATACATACATACATACATACCACGAGTATAGCTCGTTATGTTCCTTATTAATACCTGTGTTAATACGTTATAAAGATTGAAGTTTAACAATTTGTATAATAGTAGTTATTAAGTTATTAACCTGTAACTGAGACTTCACATACATAGTACAAAACAAAGACGCTGTCTGTCTGTCTGTCCTTATGTATGCTTAAATCTTTAAAACTACGCAACGGATTTTGAAGTGGTTTTTTTAATAGATATAATGATTCAAGAGGATATGTTTATATATGTAATACCCGCGTGAAGCCGGGGCGAGTAGCTTGTGACTTATATTTAACTTGCCATTTCCTTCCTTGTCTATCAAAGAAATATTATTTGTTTTCCTTAATGTATGTCCTGTTTATAGGTGATCAGTTGATCAGACACGTCCGATGTCTTGCAATATGCACTTAAAAATACATACACCCCACTTACAGTACATAGCATTTGTGCATTTAAACAAGATTTTATGTACTCGTAATGAAATCAATTTATGCTTACGTACTCTTAATTATTTATATGGTCAATCATTGCTAACATTATAAATGTGAAAGTAACTCTGTCTGTCTGTCTGTACCTGACAAGTTCTATGGATATATCGTCATTTTTAAAGCTCCTCGTAAGTAGACGCTTTCAAACTTATTTTTTAGGCTGTTCATTAAATATAAATTAATATGACATTAAGAAATTATATTAATTTTACCCTTAAGAGCATAAACTAACATAGGGGGATGAAAATTTGTATGGAAATTAGTAATGTTTCTAGAACGTGCAAACTTTCTTCTTTGGCTTCTTTGGTTGGATCATTAAATATTTCTTCTTTATTTGGTCGAAGTCGCGGGCACATATAGTACTTAAAGTAATCATATTAGGTATGTACTATGTAGGTATATTTGTTAATTTTTTTATTAAACTACAGAGTAACCAGTTTTATAACTATGTATGTATGGACTGTTGAAAACTTACCATCTTATACTTCGAAGTGTCTGTACCACGTCCATTTTTTATTATATATTTATATTTGTAGGTTTCTGAAATTTTATTATATACTCGTTAATTCACATTCCATAAAACTACACTGACACATTGTTTAATAAAAAACGTTTATAAATTCGTATTAATTCTATAAGAGAGAGAGATATATATATATATACATACTTTAAGTAAACAAGTATGTACAGTTACACAGGCACGCACCTATCTCTATGTTATTTGATCGTAATATTATTTGATTTATAGATAATATTTGTTTGTTTACAGCGGCAAACGGGACGCAATTATTGTAAAACAGGCCTCCAGCGTCAATGGTGTATTGTGAATGAGGATATCCAGCGAGTTGTGAGTATTTTATGTTGCGCCGCCGCCACATCGCGGCCCGCGATGGCAACACAGTCCCCGGCCGGTGGATGATTCACCAGCCAATTATTATCATATCTACGTTACCGTGGATGCCAATGACGGACTTTTTGTATATGTGGTGCAACTTATTGCTCGTGTACAAGTAGATACTTCAATGTAACACTTGTAAAAATTCATGTTAGTAAGACAAACTAAATATTGTCGACTGACCACTGCACATACCGTGTCACCCCTGACCCCACCTTACATTTTCTCTATTGTTATTTAGTATACAAGATCTATTTTTTATGTACATTATGTCAGCTCACTATGATCTGTAATATACATCGTAATTCTTGGTGAATTTGTCACGATGGGCTAACTGATCTGACCTCATGCTCATCTTATAATCCTCCACTGGTGCCCCGCCAGCGTAAACCGTTAGCGCAGGCGTGTGAGCTTCCATTATCATCCATAAAAAATATATACATCGTCTCAACCGACAACATCTTATTATTATTATTATTACTATCTAACAACAACAACTCTAGTTGTTTTCTTACATTTAAGAGCACGGTATGTAAATATTTTTTATCTGTAGTAACAAAGTTAGAAAGAGAACACTGCAATACAAGTAACACGGCCGGTGACTCACTGCCGGCCACAAGGAAAATGACAACAAAATAGCAACATTGTAAAAACACACCACGTGCTATTTTGTTTGTATGTACGTCCGCGTCGCCGCGTCGTAAAGGTACATCGCTCCATTTTCAACCGACTGTCTGAAGGAGGAGGTTCTGATTTTGTATGTATAATATACTACGCGACATGTTCGGTACAATTGAACGGATTTTTTTTGGCAGCATCGGGTTTTTAATTGTACTGTACTGTACTGTCTGCAGTCGGGTATTTTGTAGAACAAAATCTATTAAAATCATATTTATAATTACAATACAGATAAAAATTAACAATATTGTACACAGATAGTTTAGATTCTGAGAAACGACAAATGCTACTTTTTAAAACGACGAAACGATTGTAAGGAGTCTGAAGGGGTTGATAGAAAGGTTGTATGGGAGACGGGAGTCTCGTCACTTGTACTGTGTCACTGTCGATTAAATATAACTTTCAAAGTTTGTAAAAATAAAATACTGCGTAAAAGTTTGTACGAATTAAAGAATTTATTTAAACCAAAAACAAAGTTATAACATTAACATGTTAAAAGTAAACAACTACATTAGTTTATAAAAACTGTGTTGCAGTTATTTGCGCCCATCTCCAGAGCATTGTATACAATTTAAATCAAAACAAATGAAAATATATGAAATAGAGAAAGAGAATGTATATAAAATAAAACAAATAATACTTATAATTTATGAGTATCAGAGCATGTGTGTGTGTGAGTGAGTTCATGTTAAGGGTACTAGACAATCTATATAAACATTCAGATACATTTTTTGTAAATACATCTATATATCATCAATCATACTCATGAATACAAATATCTGTACCGTGTGAGGAATCGAACCCGCGACCATCGGAAGTGAAGCAGTGTGCCAAACCGCTAGAGTACCGAAGTCGTTCACTTATAATAGTAATTTAGATATAGAACGTCATCCAAATCACAGTGTTGCAATAATGTAAACACGCCGACGACGTCTACGTGGAACTTCCACGCTGTCTGCCGTGACGTCCGCGTCGCCGCGTCGCCGCGTCGCCGCGTCGTCGGCGTCTCGTGATGCGGTCACATTATTTTCCTTCCGATTGCGTCATTACGTCCGCGTCGCACCCGCTCGCCGAAGTCTGCAAAAAAACCGGCCACACTCCGTCCCCATTCCCGAGGCCCGCAACCCCGAGTACCCCCACGCCCCACACCCATCGTGTTCCACTATCACATCAGCCTCGATGAACTGCGATTCGCTCGGTTCAATTCATAAAAACCAAATTTAGCTAATTACCAACTACCTACTACTCATAAATGTAATAATTGGTAAAAATAAAAATAATTCAATAGTGTGCTCTACACACATACACATATCGACAGACTTCAACCCGGCTAATACATGTTTACAAAAATAATCTTCAAAATGGCTCCAAATTTTATGAATAAATTGCAAGTCTGCTTAAAAACCACTTTAAATAATATTGGTTACAATATTTAAAAAAGATTTAAATTTAGTTAACGTAATTCAATATTTAACAACTAAAACAATCCACGGCGCTGCCACCAACTACATACACTACAGTCAGTAATTCTTAGGGTGTATAAATATTGGTCTCATATTCCCGATTGTTTCACTGTATAATGTATATACATGAAGTATTTGTGTTGATGATTGTCTTGTCTGTGCTCGCGACTTCGCGTGGCATGTGACCATGGATAGCATTTTTATTGTTTAGTTTAGGCTAATTATTTTACAAATAAGACATGCATGACAAAAAACATTTAAAAATGGCGAATTTCCCTATATACTTTCGTTCCCTATTTTATTTTATCCGGTTAATAGTACAAGCTTTGAATGTTATATTTATTTATATTTAACCAACAGCCAAAAAATATAATAATTATAGCTTTAAAAATCTCGACACTTCCATACAATTTTTCATGTCCCCTTTCAATCCCTTACAATTCCTTTTTCCCATTAAAAATAAGCTTATGTCCTTTGCCAGTGTCTAGACTATCTGTGTACCAAATTTAATGTAAATTGTTCAGTAGTTTTGTCGAGTAAGCGCGACAGACACAGAGTTACTTTCGCATTTATAATATTCGTAAGGACTATTATGTGAAACATAATAAAATGAAGACGACACGTCGCAAGTAAGTATATACTGACGTTAGTAATCTTAATTTTTCTCAGCAATTATAAACCATTCGGGGCCGATATTTATGTATTTAATTTTCTACATATTTGATATTAATAAAATTCAGTTCTTATTCTTAGCTCATCTATACATATAAATAAAATTGGAGTGTCTGTTTGTAATATTGAAATAACCGTTTTTTACTACATGCATATGAATATAAATACATCAAAATAACATTTTTTACAATTTTTGTCTGTCTGTCTGTTTGTTCCGACTAACCTCTGAAATGGCTGGACCGATTTTGACGGGACTTTTCTTGGCAGGCAGCTGATGTAATAAGGAGTAAAAAAGTTAAATTCCACGCGGACTAAGTCGCGGGTGCAGCTAGTGTTAAATATGAACTGAGAACTGACTATTCAAGTACTTAGTGGTTACAAATAAACAAACTACATACAGCGGGTAATATTTATATTTTCGCGCAGTCACTAACATAACATCTGCGTCGCGTCGCGTCGCGTCGCCGCGTCGTGCGCCGCGTTGTTTGTTGTTTATGTTTTGAGGAAATGTTTGCTACATTTCTGCTTGTTGTGTACATGCAGGCACTTGCTCCGAGTATCACATGATCGTAGCTATTCGTAGGTCACATTAGCAAACTGACGTTTATCACTATCGTTTTGATAGACTGCTAGCTGATTCTTTTTTATTACTCAGGTACTAGACAAATTGTTATCGTCTGCTTCTTCTCTATCCCATTTATTTGTGGTCGTCGTAATATGTTTTTCTCTTCCATTCATCTCTGTTCGCAGTCATCTCGTTATTTACTCACTCACACGTGACATTTCCGAGCTATGGCGTCATATTTCAATAAACAAAACAAGGCTAATATGGCGCTCTGTTTTGAGTGATAATATTGTACAGATACAGATTTAATTGGAATTGCAATAATAACAAACTACAAAACTAGTCCGGTGCTTGTGTCCAAGTACGACGATAATCAATCATGGCCGCTCCTTGTCAACCACAGATAATAGAAACTCAGATTTATGTATCTATGTATTTATGTACTACCTGATTTATGTATTAACTGATAGATAGTATTTCTGGTATTTCTATCAGTTGTCTAGTACCCATAACATATGTTCTGCTTAACATCTGCTTATCAGACAGAGACGGATAATTATTTTAACGATTGTCATACAGTTTCACATTATAGGTAATCAGTATTACACAATTTTTAACAAACTTATTGAATATTTTAAAGGTTATGGCACCTCTGAGGTCGCGGTTCATGGATGGTCCCGTCAGCTACATTACAATGCACAGCATACGAAATATACTTGTTCCGAGGTTTGTACGGCAAAAAGACGAGGCAGTTAAGCCGCGGCCAGGGTTACTACTCTGAACACATTTGCTTTCGTTTTTCTTTTTTCGATAAAAATAGACCTTGTATTACTTTAAAGTTTATATCAGTTAATTATCTTGAACAGAATAGAATAGAAAATAATTTATTCAAATAAACTTAATTTAAGCACTTTTGAATAGTCATAACAATTTTTTTTTATCTACCGCCAGGAGGAAGGAAACAAAAATAAAGCAAGAAGAAAAGAACCAGGAGGAAATAAAAAAAGCCCGTGAGCCAGCAACAGACCAACGTGATCAACGTTGGCCTGTTGCTGGCTCGCGTATATTGAATCAGGCGGAAGTTGGCCTTCAGCCGCTCCATAGTCCTTACGCGGGTATTCAGTGCACATCAATGTACACTCGCTCCCTATCGTCCGGTGAAGCAGTAAAGGCCAGCTGCAGCCAACAGCATTAAAGTATATAATTAAAAAATGTACTATTTTTCAAACTGTTCACTAAGCGACAACAAATACGGACTTTAGTTTTTACTAAATATTGGTAGCAGCGTAAAATTTACTCAAAATATTCGTAAAATAAATATACAATGTTGGTATAGTCCTTTGAACCGGCGGCGGCGCGGCGGCGGCGCGGCGGCGGCGCGGCGGGAAGGGGACTGTTACTAATGTGAACTAATGAACACATTCCTAGCAATGTACCATGACAGGCTGACCTGCAACGGTTCTTCTTGGAAACCATTGTGATAAATTCCTGGTGAATTTGCCACGATGGGCCAACTGACCTGACCTCATGATCATCTTATCATCCTATACTAAGCAGAGCTTATGTTATGGGTACTAGACAACTAATATAAATACTTTTTTTTTGTAAATACATACATAATATACCTACATAGAAAACATCCATTTAAGAACAATCATACTCATAAATACAAACATTTGCACCGTGCGAGGAACCGAAGCCGCGACCATCGGATAAGCGATGTATTAAACAGAGGGACAACCGAGGTTGTTGATAAAAAAAAAGTGCATATTTATTTAAAAAAAATATCCTCTGAACAGAAGACAAAAAACCTCGTCGGTAGCCGCACGCGCATCTCAGCACGTTGTCAGCCCTGGCCGCAGCCCCATTACGTATGCGTACACTTTCCCTTCCACCTCCGCTCCTCCGGCGGCCTGTTCCAACACGTCACAGAGCAGCAGTCTGTGTTCAGTTTACAAACACAAAACACCAGTCGCTTGTTTTGTTGTTCGAAGTGTCACAACGCTACTGCAATATGGAGTGTTTGAAGTACTTAATAGCTACGGTTAGTCACATTTAGTTAATCATTAAGATATTTGTAATTAATAGATTAGAAAGTGCAACGGCTTGTTGAAGGATTCCGTCTAACTGTACGGGCGTTTGTGTATCTGTGTTAGGGTTGCCACCTTTTTTTTTGCAGTTACAGTGCATTGGTTATTATAGGTAAGAAAAAAAAGTCCATCAAAATAAAGTAAAAACATATTTTTATTGCATTTTGCAGTATGTATCAAATTAGTATCTCTACTAAATAAATTGCAAATAAATAATGAATAACATCGATTCAGTCGGGACCAGTCGATAAATTTCACTTAATGTAAAGATACATACGTGCATACAACTAAACTTTTCAAATTTACAAATAAATCAAATCACGCGAAATGAAGTATTAATAAGTACAGTTACCTGATACCTGATAACAACAATACTTTATTATATAAAGTACGGGTGGCAACTCTAATCTGTGTACATGAGAAAGGAAACGGTGTATTAAATTTTGTGGGAACTAGCTAAAATTAAATTACTTGTCGTTTAAAACGTATGGGTTATACCACATTTGTTTACTTCAGTTTTTATTTTTATGATAATTAGTAACCATATAATTTCCAATGTGGATGTTGGATATATTAGAGATTATTGTTATATCGAAATTGGTTTGGTAATTTAGGAATTAAACTTCTAGAAATGATTCATTATCATATTATGCAATAACAAGTTATTCAATATTGTATATCGTAATACTTAACTATGAACCTGACTCGGTATCCGGCACGTAGTCCGTGCGATGCGATGCGATGCAATGCGTGCAACATACGTACATAACACCTGACACAATGCTATTTAACGACAGCTGGCAGCACTGATGTCATTGTTATGTAAGGAACTTCAACGGGTCAAGGAGAGAATCCTATTTAACTACATCACATTAATACAAATAGAAATAGAAACAATATTTATTTAAAAAAAAAAATCTTAAAATAAGCACTTTTGAATAGTCACATTTTTTTCTCCTACCGCTCATTCGGAATGCAGACTCATCACGAGAAGAATGAGCAAGAAACTTGTGTGTTGCTCGTTTAAATTAATGTTGGTACATCAATTAATTATTATTTATACAAATTCAGGGTTATTTATTAATTAAAAAAAATATACATGTAATGCTAAAAACTGTGTGCACATAGTGCGTATGATAGGACGGCAGCACACGTTCTGATGTAGGTGTTCTTCTCCTGCAGTTGGTGGCAGTTCTGTGTGCGCTGTCTCCGGCATCCAGCACGATACCGCAGCCGAGGGCGCCTAATTTCCAATATTTCGAAAGGTAAATATTCCCGTGAGTTGCTTGCAACTCCTTTCTATATTGCGTCTACCACAGATAACATAATATTACATACGTCTACTGTGTTTTATAATTATACAGGTAGACTTGTCAAATGTTTTGTCATAAAATAGAATAAAAAACCATTTTTTCAAATAAACTTACATTGAAGCACTTTTGATTAGTCATCACATTTTTTTAATCTACCGCTCATTCGGAAAGCTGTCTCATCACAAGAAACTTGCGTGTTGCACTTTTAAATAATTTTACTGTTACTTTACATTTTTAAGTTGAAGTGTGTGAATACAAACTACCAATTAGCACTAATTTAATTAAATAATCAAATAGGAAAAATATTGAATATACAACCAACTGGTTAAACAATTAATAAGAGGAAATCAGTCATAGTGATTAGAGCAGACCAGTCCCTGCAACCAGCACCCGTTCACGAGTATGACGACATATAGATTAAAATCGCTATTAAAAGATAAAGATTGATGATAGAAGGGTAATATTGTAACATATGTGTATGTAGGCTTTAGTCCCACATCATAATAATAAATCACTGGGACTATTTGAGACCTGAATACTGCGATATATATTTACATGTATTCTTACACTGTAACCAAACGCAGATTGTATGGCTGTTATGTATTATATATTACTACAAATAATTTTATTTTTAACTAGCTGTACTTCGTCCGCGTGGAATTTAACTTTATTTTCTAGAATAAAAATAGCCTAAGTTACTCTTTATTTCATTATCTACCTGTCAAATAAAGTCGAGTCAAAATCGGTTCAGCCATTTCAGAGATTAGCCAGAACGAACAGACAGAGAAAAATTGTAAAATAAAATATTTTGGTATACATTCATATTCATATACATGTAGTAAAAAACGTTATTTCAATATTACAAACAGACACTCCAATTTTATTTATATGTATAGATGAATGATAATTGAATGGTGTACCCGCCTGCGATAACAGTTTACGCTGGCGGGGCACCAGTGGAGGATGATAAGACGAGCATGAGGTCAGGTCAGTTAGCCCATGGTAACAAATTCACCAGGAATTTATAACGATGGTTACAACTGAAACAGTGTGGAGGTCACCCTGACATGGTACACTGTTATCAGTGGATCAGTCCACATTATTAACTAACCCTTTCCCCCCAAACTACAACTGTCGGTGTGTTTCAGGCCCAACTACCGGTACCCATACTACGACGAAAACGGGCGCGGCAAGCTGCTCTACGGCTACGGAGGACCCGAGCTGTTCCAGTACAAGTCCTACTCGCCGCTAGAGGGCATACACTAAACACCAGCTGAGACCATAGTCCACCATAGTACGAGGTGATTGGTAAAGTGGGTGCTGCTTGTGGGGACTCGTCTGTTCGGGTGCAAATTCAAATTCAAGAATTATTTATTCATGTAGGACATTTCAGCCGCTTATGCACATCAATTTTTTTTTATTATAATTTTTTCCCCACCCTCATGTTCAATATATAGATCCAATTTAGAAGAACTGGCCAGTTCTTCACTCAATTTTTTTTTAAATCAATTTAGTTCTAATGTATATTTATATAGGTGTTTATGTCTAACGTTAAATGAAAATCCAGTGCATGAACAACTATTGCCATGCACACTCGTCATTCGAGTAATCGTTTAGTGAGTATTAGGCTTTGTTCAAAGATAATAAATATGTTTTAACAGATGGGTACGGCCGCTGACTAGGTTATTTCGTTTTAACAAAAATGTTATAGCATATGTGGGTGGTCACGATATTCTCTGTAATTAAATTTAAATATGTATCTGTATTTCTCATATCTTCAAGCTCATTTGAAAAGAATAAGAGCTGAATTTCTTGTCAGTTCTTCTCACCTCGAAAGCACTCTGAACTGACGGTGGATTTGACATATGATAAGAGTCTGTAATAGACCTACATGAATGAACATATTTTGATTGCAATCTTCTAGACACCAACGAGAAATACGGGTGTCTCCAGTAGGTGTCGCAAATACTAAAGAAATAAACTTGCAGAGACCGGACTGTTAGAATAATTCAGAATATTAGTTTTGAGTGAAGACGTTTTTTATGTTTATATCTAAATTAAATGATGTATTACATAGTAGGTAATTATTTTTTGCATAAAAGTGATATAATTTTAAAAATACAATATCATAAAAAAATTGTAGGTCGATTCTTTTTATAGACATTTTCGGTGGACATTTTAAATGTAGATAGAATTACAATAATACTTGTGATAGGGTTGTAGACAATTTGTAAATAATTATTTGATATAATAAAGACATTACTTACTATTTGGTTTACATTCCTTTTACCTTCATAATACTACCTGTTCCACAACACATACACTAAGATACCATTTGTCTTTGGCCATGTAGTAGTTCTGGATTTATAAATGGGCCATATAGGCCGCGTCCTAGGGGCGGCAGATTTCAGAGAATAATAGTCAAACAAATAAATTAGAGAAAAATATTTTTAGGGACGGCGGAGATAAAAAGGCCTACACTCATCAATAAATATAATTGGAGTGTCTGTTTGTAATATTGAAATAACTATTTTTTACTACATACATATGAATATAAATACTGTACATACGAAATAACATTTTTTACAATTTTTGTCTGTCTGTTTGTTCCGGCTAATCTCTTAAATTGCTGGACCGATTTTGACGGGCCTTTTATTGGCAGGTAGCCGATGTAATAAGGAGTAACTTAGGCTACTTTTATTTTAGAAAAATAAAGTTAAATTCCACGCGGACGAAGTCGCGTGTACTACTAGTATCAAATATAAAGCCGGCACTGGTATGTTATGGTATGTAGATAGATTTGTCAGTCAGTTATTGTTCAAATCAAATAATGTTGTAACCTGCGAGTTGTACACAAAATACCTACAGGTAATGAGTTAGTGTTCTCCTGTCATAGGTGTGCGAGGTAAACACTTGACACTAGCGGTCTGCAGACACAACCTTGAACATGTTAACATCCAACTAGTATATTTGCGCATAAACTTAATAGATTCATATGTACTCCTCCATATAAACGGATAAATCTCGTAAGTCAGTCGCTTTATATCCCTTGTGAAATGAGCATGTATTTAAAAGGCGTCGCACTCCTCACTATATGCCTGGTGGGGGAGTGTGTGTATGTGTATTCAAGTTTTTGGGCGCCACTGTTCGATCCAAGAATCCTGAACTACCGGGTTGATTCGCCGTTTGATCCTGATAGCGGCAAAAATGCAAGAACTCAGTATACCAGTAAATATGGTGTGAGAGGCGAGAATTTAATTGCGGATCTGGGCAACGGGAAAGGTTTCAGTGGCTACTCTGATAATGACAATAAGGTGATTTTTAAATTATTATTATTATCATATATTTTTTTATTTCGGATACGCAAAGATGACTAACCACTGACTGTAGATACAAATTGTTTTTTTTTAATAAAATGACAATAAATAAGGGATCTATTTTATTTAAAACAAATTGGTGTTATTTCACCGAGGTACACTTTACACTAAAGGGAACTGGCCTACATACATACATTTTCATTTAAGTTAAATTACAAATATATAATAATTAGAAAATTGAAATTCGACCGTTAAAGTCTAAAATAAACTATCTAATAATATTGTAAGTGCGCTTACTATGACATTATTTATTGCAGGAATATAACAATGTGAAGTTTTACTACACCTACCCAGGAGCTGATCACAATGAAGAATATTCGTATTAATAAGCATACTCACACACCACACATACAGAAATGTAAATGGTAATGATGATAATTATAATATAATGCATCTCCTCAACAATGGAGATGTAATTGTTTTATGTATATAAAGTAACACTCTTTCTTTCTAATTTAATCAAATATATAAAAGATTAACTTCACATTGATCAGTTAAACTTGTGTTTCTTTCATTATACATAAAACCTGTACACCCTCTCCACTTATGTAATACTAGCTACCCACCCGCTAGAGAGATATATAGATAGCTAAAATTTTATTTTCGTTACAAGACAAACACACACAAGGTACAGTAATATAAAAAAAAGAAAAAAAATAAGATAAAAATATACGAAATAGGAACAAAAACGTGTGAGTATAGTGCGTGTGCATTGTGTATCGCCCATACGCAAAAAGGCAGCACCTCAATGTTTGTTAACTTGAGCAGCAAGCCACTGAGCAACAGCGATGTTAGTGAATTTGGTGGTAATAATAATATATTCTAAAATTAAGTATTATCCGTGTAGAGCCATCCACACACTACGTTGCTCACACCGTTTTTTTGTAGCTGTTGTTTCGTCGCGAACTTTCTAGATTAATTTTATCGTTAGTTTTTTTTTATATATACCCTCAATATCGATGTTTATTACTCGCAACGCATAGCAATAGCAGTCGTACAAGCTGCCATGCACCACGCCCAGTTGTATCTGTGACTACGGCGCGAGTGTATGTCTATCGTTTCGAAAATTATCTCTGCATTCAACCTCACCTCACGTCTTCAAAGACCGGATCTACCGAAGGTGGATGTTCATCGAAGGCATTAGCAGAACAAGGTACGTGTGTGCATTATATTTGCTATTGTCAACGAGTTTTTAGAACATCGATTTATTCGTATACGTAATAGTCCCTATGTAGCATAAAGCCACCGCTATTTCGGATTGGTGCGAATGCTACATCTTTCTGGTGCCGAAACCCGGGACATTCCGCCTATTCGGGTTGTTGTGGTATTTTCTGGTTAAAGTGTAGGTTTTAATCTTACAGGCATATAATCGCTATAAAAGTAAATATATATATCGATATAAATATCCTGTGATCAATTTATACGCTCGTTTACACTACCGCACAGGTTAGGTATAAACCGTGTTCTTTGTGTTTACACAAATAGATAATTAATTTGTGTTTATTTTCTAATCGATACCTATCCTATCTTCACCCTACCTTCAAAGCTGTGTGAGCTCGAAAACCGGTATTTGTTCTATTATTCATCTAACAATTTATCGTATTTAATTTCTTTTTTTTTACTTATCATTTCCTATGAGTATATCTTACAATTATTATTTATCGTTTTATATTCACGCTCATACTCTAGAGATAGACCGAGGCGCTAACTAATTATAATTAATATTATAATATCACGCTTATTTTATTTCGGAGCGGACAAATTAATTAACTGTTTTATTTGGGATATTATAACAATTTTAAATTCACGCCTAATAGATTTTTAGGGTTGACAGAGACTTCAAAAATCTTTTTTTTTTTTTTTTTTTTTTTATCGTGTTTAATTAAATCGTGTTTTTTTTTTTTTTATTAGTTAACTCTTTTATATAATACAAATAATCATGTCACTTTTAACGAAGCACACTTCTCGTAAAGTAGGTACTTTGAAAAAATCGAAATCGAAATCTATCGATAATGATTATACTGTACAGGACTTAGCGTCATTGCGCAGAAAACGGACTATTGCTTATAAACGGTTGTCTAAGGCGTTGGAAATCGGTAAATTGGCTTTAAGTGATAATTCTCAGCTTGATTTGTTTTTATCATATCATCAGGAAGTTAAACAAATCGCATCAAACTTCGAAGACGCTCATTTTGTAATTATTCGTTTATTGGATGACGAGGAAATCGATGATAGCGAAATGCAAGAGTCTTTTGATGATATGTATTTTCGGGTGTTGTCAATGCATCGTTCTTTAACTAAAAATGACTCGTCCCATATCCCAAAAAGCTCATCATCAAATATTCGTTTACCTAAACTCGTCCTCCCGAATTACTCGGGCAATATTAAATTATTTCCCGAGTATATTGATACATATAACGCATTGATACATAATTCTACTTCTCTTTCGGATACCGAAAAGTTTCATTATTTGATATCTTCTCTGAGCGGCGATGCATTGGCTGTAGTGAAGACTTTTCCTATGTCTCACGAATATTATCGGGATGCGTATGAAGCACTTGTTGCCCGTTATAAGTGTAAACGGACCTTAGCTTTCACGTGTTGGAGAGATATTCTCAGTATCCACTTTAAATATACTAACGCCTATGAATTTCAAAAATCATTAGATCAGTTTGAGGAGAATTTAAGTATTTTAAAAACACTTGACTTGCCAACTGCACATTGGGATTTCGTTCTAGTTTATCACATTTTGTCGAAATTAGATAAAGACCTACGCCGAAGTTTTGAAGAAAAATACTCTGACATTGAATTACCATCATATGATCAGCTCAAAAGGTTTTTGCGATCTAAATGCGAAGCATTACTGCGCGATACTCATTTTTTGGACTTGCATCAAACAAATAAATCTTTTCTCAAAACCGGTACGCCTATGCAGTTTCAGCCCAAACGGATGAACGTGTCACATACACTTATCGCCGCAACTGATGCCACACCCGCTGACAACAAAAGCGGTTTGTACTATGCAAAATGTTCATATTGCAATGAGACACATTCTATATCATCATGTCCCGACTTCCTTCAAAAATCACTTGAGGAACGTATGAAAATAGCCAATGACAAACATTGGTGCTTTAATTGTCTGAAGCCCTCTCATCAATTAAAAAACTGTACTTCTATTTTCTCGTGCCGCACTTGCAAACGTAAACACCACACCTTACTCCATCGCGATAAAACTATCGAATCAAATCCTATCTCATCTTTGGTTTCAAGGTCTGAATCAAATACAACTGTATTACTGGCAACTGCAATCGTTCAGGTTAGAGATGCTTCAGGTAATCTGCAATCGTTTCGAGCCTTATTCGATACGGGAAGTCAAAGCAATTTCATAACGGAATCGGCCATGAATCAGTTAAAGCTAAAACCACGTCATTCAAACGTGAGCGTTTCTGGACTGGGAGAAGCAGAAACTTCTATAACTGGAGGTATCACGTGTTCCATAGCTACTAACGATCGTGTTGTATTTGATACTGACATGTACGTGATTCGAAAAATTTGCGGTGATCAACCAATCGCTCATTTAAATACATCAAATTGGTCACACATTCAATCGCTGCCGTTAGCCGATCCTGGTTTCGATATTCCAGGACCAATCGATATCTTGTTTGCTGCGAACGTATTTGTAGATTCGCTTCTCGATCAACACATCAAGGGTGGTGTTAATCAACCTACGGCGTTTAATTCTATTTTTGGGTGGTTACTGTTAGGTAAAACTTCATTGTCATCTCATACGCTTTTGCATTCAGTTCCAAATATAGATATCGATTTAAATTCTCTCGTTCAACGCTTCTGGGAGCTGGATTCCTTACCGTCTTCTTCAAGATTGACTCCAGACGACGAGTTATGCGAAAAGAAGTTTATTAATGATCACACTCGAGACATCTCTGGACGATACATGGTTCGCATCCCTTTCAAGGAAAATACGGAACCTATTTTTGAAGGTTCTCGAAATCTCGCTTTGCGAAGATTTTATGCAATCGAACGAAGACTTTCTCGAGATTCCAACTTGCGTTCTCAATACACAGACTTTATGAGCGATTACATTGATAGTGGACACATGTCACTTGTCCCAGCAAACGAAGTAGGTTTAGGGAAATACTACATCCCTCATCATTGCGTTTTACGTCCTGATTCTACCACTACTCGTCTTCGAGTTGTTTTCGACGCTTCGGCAAAGGATTTAAATCATCGGTCCTTGAATGACACTCAACTCATCGGGCCTAAACTACAACCGAATATTGTATCAATTCTTTTGCATCTCCGGGAACATAAAATAGTTTTCATGGCTGACGCTCGACAAATGTATCGACAAATTCTTATATCCCCTGACCACCGTGACTATCAACGCATTTTTTGGAGAAATACGCCGAATGAGACACTTCAAGAGTATCGTTTGAACACAGTCACTTATGGGCTTGCTTCGTCTCCATATCTCGCATGCCGTACTTTACGACAGTTGGCTAAAGACTGGGGAAACTCATACCCGCTTGCTAAACAAATCATTTTATCGGATATTTATATTGACGACGTTGCTACTGGATTTCAATCACTAGAAGCTGCTCAAGAAGCAAAATCACAACTCATTGCTCTTTTTAGTCATGGATGTTTTATGTTTCAACTTAGGAAGTGGATAAGTAATGATATGCGATTACTGTCGGATATTCCTAAAGAAGATTGTTTAATGGGTTCCGTATCGCTTGACAACACAGAAAGTGGCATTTTTAAGGTTTTAGGTCTCAAATGGGATCCCTCGTCTGACAGTTTCCTTTTTGAAATACAGTCTTTAGATCGACCATGTACCAAACGTTCGATTCTTGGCGAGCTTGCTCGTATTTTTGACCCCTTAGGCTTTCTTTCTCCTGTTACGATCCAAGCTAAATGCTTGATTCAGAAACTTTGGGTTCTCGGCGTCAGTTGGGACGAAACTCCACCTGTTGAAGTTGTTAACTCCTGGAATACCTATCGCGAGCAATTACCATTGTTAGGTGCACTCAAGATTCCACGGCGATTTACATGTACTGATGCGAGATCATGTGAACTGCACGGCTTCTGTGACAGTTCAGAGGCGGCTTATGGAGCAGTTATTTATCTACGTGTTTCTGATTCAAAAGGCAAAATCAATGTATTTCTTGGCTGTTCTAAAGCTCGTGTAGTACCTTTAAAACGTACCTCGTTACCTCGACTGGAACTCTGTGCAGCTGTACTTCTGTCGGACTTATATAAATTCGTACATGACGCGTCCATAATTAATATAAAAATTGATGCTACGTATTTTTGGTCTGACTCGACAGTCGTTCTTTCTTGGTTGCGCTCTCATTCTTCTCGTTGGGCCACGTTTGTAGCTAACCGTGTCAGTCATATTCAAGATATTACACCTGCTGAATGTTGGCACCATGTGTCCTCTGGAGATAATCCAGCGGACATATGTTCCCGTGGACAGTTTCCCAGTGAAATTGTCGGCAATGAGTTATGGTGGGCGGGACCTTCATGGTTATCGAAGGATTACACATTCTGGCCTCCTTCATCAATTACAATAACATATGAAGATAAAAGTGTTATGGAAACTGAAACACGAAAATCCATTGCTTTAACGTCAAACACTATCATTGATCCTACAAAGTCTGAAGATATAATCAATAGCTCGCTAAATCGTTTCTCATCATTGTCAAAACTTATTAACGTTTTTACCTATATTTATCGATTTATCAATAATACTCGCAACCCTAATCAGGCCAATCGTAATTGTTACCTGAATAACGTCGAAAGACATAATGCATTAATGCGTATTGTTAAACACGTACAAAATGAATCGTTTGTTAATGAAATTTTATGCCTTAAATCTCAAAAATCGTTACCTAAACCGTTTCGGAAACTCAATCCGTTTATCGATAATCAAGGTATCCTCAGGGTGGGTGGAAGAATATCGCGATCTGGTTTAGAATATGAACAAAGACACCCTGCTTTTCTACCATCCAATCATCAGTTAACGTCATTGATTATAGATTTTATCCATCGTAACTATTTACATCCAGGTATAAATACTACAAATTTTTTATTACTGCAACAGTTTTGGATCGTTTCCGCCAAACGTATCATACGTCGTCAATTAGCGAAATGTATACAATGTTACCGAACTAATCCACGACCTCTACAACCTTTTATGAGCAATCTTCCATCTTACCGTGTTAACCAAGTGAAACCCTTCTCGGTCGTCGGTGTGGATTTTGGTGGGCCTTTTAGAATAAAGCTTGGTTCTCATCGGGGTGCTAAGATAGATAAAGCATATCTCTGCTTGTTTATCTGTCTGGCCACTAAAGCGGTACACCTCGAGGTGGTGTCGACACTCTCTACTGAAGGCTTTGTAGCTGCTTTGCGTCGTTTCATAGGACGTCGTGGTAGATGTAATGTAATACATGCGGATTGTGGTACTAATTTCGTTGGTGCTAGAAACCAATTGTCAACTTTAATGGAGCAAGCGTCTAGTGCACAAAAAATTGAATTCAAATTCAATCCACCAACAGCTCCGCACTTCGGCGGGGTGTGGGAGATTCAAATTCGGGCAGCCAAATCTCATTTATATCGTGTGGTCGGTAATCAAGTTTTAACGTTCGAAGAGTTATCTACTCTTTTTATACAAATTGAATCAGTATTGAATTCACGGCCACTATGTCCCATTAGCTCTGACCCTAACGATTTATCAGTTTTAACACCTGGACATTTTCTCACTTTAGAACCTCTAACAGCTGTTCCTGATGAAGATCTATCAAATACTAAAGTTACTCGGCTTCATCGATGGCAATTGTTACAATCTTTTCATCAACATTTTTGGTTCAGATGGAAGCACGAATATCTTAATTCTTTAACGCAACGAGCCAAATGGACCAAAAAATTCTAAACCGTTAAGTATCGGTTCGATGGTGATTATCAAAGACGATAATCGTACTCCATTGCATTGGCCTCTAGCTCGAGTTGTTAATCTATTGCCAGGAGCCGACGGAATCGCTCGGATTGCCATAATCCGAACCGCGAACAATCATACAATGCAACGACCACTAGTTAAGTTATGTCCTTTACCTATAGAGGATTAACCAAAATCGTTGTCTTTTAGATTTCTTTTTTTTTTATATTTTTATTTTATTTATAGTTATAGTTTCTTTCATCGTCATTTCGTTTCTAATATGTCTGTTTAACAATGTTACATTTTTTTTTTTTTTTAATAACCAGAAAATACCATAGGCATTTTGGTAGGCGGGATGTTTCGTCGCGAACTTTCTAGATTAATTTTATCGTTAGTTTTTTTTATATATACCCTCAATATCGATGTTTATTACTCGCAACGCATAGCAATAGCAGTCGTACAAGCTGCCATGCACCACGCCCAGTTGTATCTGTGACTACGGCGCGAGTGTATGTCTATCGTTTCGAAAATTATCTCTGCATTCAACCTCACCTCACGTCTTCAAAGACCGGATCTACCGAAGGTGGATGTTCATCGAAGGCATTAGCAGAACAAGGTACGTGTGTGCATTATATTTGCTATTGTCAACGAGTTTTTAGAACATCGATTTATTCGTATACGTAATAGTCCCTATGTAGCATAAAGCCACCGCTATTTCGGATTGGTGCGAATGCTACAGCTGTATTATATTTTATCTGCATATGTATTGTATTGTATTTCGTTGACTGACCAATGTAACTGTGTATCTACTTTTTATGTTTGTTGATAACATTACAGTGCTTTGTAAGTTTGTGCCGCAAGTAAGTTGTTGCAGGCTGCAGTTTTCAAGTAACTAATATAGTTAATATTTAACTGTGCTGGGTAACACTCATTCTATTAAAAAAACCGCTACAAAATCAGTTGCGTAGTTTTAAAGATTTAAGCATACATAGGGACGGACAGACAGCGATTTAGTTTTATACTATGTAATGATTTGGAAATAAAATAACAAATAGAAAAAATGCAGTATTTATTTCCTTACACAATAATCTTACAATTACAAACTAATATTATCACATCATATCCTTCGTTTCTGTGTGCTGATATAGAGCACGTTGTTACCCCGGATGAATGCATCCCCATACTTATTTTTGAGCTGGCCATTCACATACTCTTCTGTTTGTTCGAGTGCAATGTTCATATAGCCGTCCAGACATGCCAGCACCCCTGTAAAATATACAGTATTTGAACTTTAGTTTTAATTGTGTGGTCAAAAACGCTAAGACTACCCGAACGCAAAAGACGCAGAGGACGTCAGCCACCTGGTGGACCAGTGCAAGCTTGTCACTGCGGAAAAATTGTCCGACCCGACAACCCAGGACAGATTGTCCTGGCGCTGAAAAATTAGGAGAGCCGACCCCGCATACAGTGGGACAGAGCTAAGAGGAAGAAGATGAAGATGAAAATCTTTAGTTTCAAAATTATGAAACATTCAATCATGTTTAATTTGATAAAAATCTTACATGTCAGTTTTCAATATTGTCCATTTAATGGACCTGTGTTTATAATACAGGCTCAGTCTAGTTTAGGTACAGTGGTAAATTGTCTGTATGTATAATGTATAAGAGTTTAAGACTGTAAATTTAGACTCTATAAATGATTACTATTGTAATGATGTATAAAATAGATTTTTAAACATCAAACTTAGAGACAAAATCAAACTCACTGATATAAGAGAAAAAACCAAACTGACAGATGCAGTCGAAACTATTAAGAAACTTAAATGGAAGTGGACAGAACATGCAATAAAAAGTAAGAAAGAGAAATGGACTAAGGATGTCATAGATTAGTATCCAAGAGAACAAATAAGAAAGTGAGAGCGACAGAAAAAGAGGTGGGAGAATGATATAAGGGCAGTGGCGGGACCAACATGGAGAAGGAAGGCGTTGGACAGAGGAGCCTGGAGTCTTGGAGGAGGCCTATGTCTTGGGACAAGCTGATGATTGTCAGCACAAAGGATATAAATAAATAAACAAAATTAAATGCAAACTTGTTAAGCTGTTATAGTTCTATTGGGTATTTTTTGTTTACTTATTTGTCTAGGCTATTGTCAGGAGCATGGACCTGTAGCACAGCTACCTACATAGATCTATTTTGCTCACTCTTTTCAAAGTTTGCTACCTAAACCCATCAGGGACAAGAATTGAAGGATATTTTTAGGAGCGATGGTTTTTATCTCCTCAGGAAAGAATGTAAACTTTCCAAAGGAGATATTTCGCTTATGCATGAGTGGGGGCTACAACCACATAGGATGTGTAGTGGCGTTTCCTCTTTAGTTTAGCAAAATCTGCAGGTGATCCGCGTGGATATCCACCATTTCGGGCTGATATCAGCCCGAAATGGTGTGTTAGAGGTAATGGGTCACTAATAGCCACTAGTCCCCATTATTAACAATCTCCTTCCATAGTGTTACTACCTATATTGCACTATACTCAGATCAACAAGTATTATCCTTCATAATGAGTACATTGTGACAATATTAGGACAAACAACACAATGTTAAATATGTTACTATACTATGTTATAACATAGTATTATTGATGCGCATAAATTCAAGAATTGTAAATGTTAGTAAACAATTAAATAGAGTGCTCACCTCTGTAGTCTACACCACTGTTTAGCTTTACAACGACCGGCCGGCCGTGAATTTGTTGGATGAAAGAAGAAAGAGCTTCTTTGCGACTCATGATTTGAATATTAATTTTGTATTTAATAAATAAAAGGTAAAATAATAGTGCCGCTGTTTTGAAATTTTCAGGTTATATTGTTTGACACTGACTTTTTTTGGGTTTTGACTGACTATTGGCTGACAGTAGCGATTTTTTTGGTTCTATTTATCCTTTAGAAAAGGCGAAGGAAACTATGTCTATACAGCCATCGAAGGAAATTATACTTTTGGCAGTGACATTTTTCGTGTTATTGATGCATTAATCATTACTACACAATATTTTTTTATGTCTTGAGCACAATTAATTGACAGCATTATTGTAAAAAGAAAATATTTAGAAGTAGTATTGATTAAAATATATTTATCTTTGCCATTTTCCCACATTAAAAATATACATAGGTTCATCCTCTGTATGTATATTAAAAATATACATGTATGATGTACAAATAAAGAGGATGAACTAAAATATAAGTAAATATAGTGGACATTGCTATTTACAAATCTTTTGGTATGATTGGGAAAATTGGACATATTTGCAGTTGTACTGGTTAACAGGCACTGTGACAAGAGACAAAATAAAATACAACTGTTCACTTAATAATTATTTAATACTATGTTACAAATAAAATGTTTTAGTTCATGTCCTCTCTTTGGGTTCAAGTGAGGTCCAGATGAATCCGCTGTAGTTGTTGACCTCTGTGTCTGTGAGGGGGTACGGGCTGTTGCTGGCCTTGTAGTAGTCAGAGGGTGCGTGCATTACAAACTCCATTACGTCCAATTTGCGAGCCAATTCCTCTTCTGGACCTGAAAATTAGAGAAAATTTTACAATGACTTTCACTTAGTAATGTTTGTGTATACTCTACATATTACAATGTGGACTCAAGTTAAGCAATGCTAACAGATATAATAAAAATACTATGTTATTTTGTATACTACATGAATTAAACTTAAATATAATTTACCCTATAGAAATTGACATATTTCCACTTCTATTACGACTTTATTCAAATAAACTTAATATAATAATTTTTGTAGTCTTTTTTTTAATTCTACCACTCATTCGGAAAGCAGAGTCATCACAAGAAGAATGATCTAGAAACTTGTATGTTGCTCAAACTACTACAACATCAAGATAGTTAAAAAAAGTGGAAAAGGTATAATTCATTCATAATATTGAATTATGGAGACATCATACTTTATGGATGCTAAATACACATCGGTACAAACATATTTTTTAGAATGGATGATAATGGAATGGTTTCTGAAGATAAGATCAAATTCACCAGGAATTTAACATAATGATTTCCAGGGGAAAACCAAGTGGAAGTCAACCTGACATGGTATCTTGCTAGCAATGTACCATATCAGGTATACCATACACCATACTACTAATAATTCCCTTCCCCTTGGTACAAACATGTTATAGAAGCTGTTTAATGAGGAAACTAATTTGGCTGTATGAGATAAAAAAAGCTTTACCAATAATGTATGTGGCTGGGTCGAATCCCTTTTCAGGCGGAGGGCTGGCTCTAGTGGGCAGCAGCCAAGTGACCACGGCACTCTTCTCACAGTACTGGTCGGTCATGAAGCCTCTGATTTGTGCATAGTAGACACCTCCCTCTACATCTATCATTGACACTATATCACCCACTTGCATGTAGCTCCCCTGAAAATGTGCATTTACATTTTTTTACAATATTACAGTTATTTATTTAAAGCTTTTATTATATATAGTTGAAGTTAATGTTATTTTTGTTTATTGTTATTTTACTGCCTAAGGTTGTTGGTTTATCCTAAGACATAGGCCTTCTCCAATAGACTTCATGTTCCTCTATCCAACACTTTCCTTTTCCATGTTGGCCCAATGTAATATTACAGTTAAATAATGATAAACACAGGTAAACAATGTCAGATTTCTTAAAAATATAATAATAACAAATTAAAAAATTTTGAAATTTAACAATATAATAATCCAAGACTTTTATGATTTAAATATATTCCATGTTACAACAATGTCATATAGTGGTGAGTTTATATCAAAAGTAAATAAAAGATGCTCATAGAATTAGAAACAGATTAAGTATTGAAAACAAATAAAACTGCTTTTTATGGAAAGTAATATTAAAAATTTAGTTTCAACATGATTTTCCATAAAAAGCAAGCTTTACATGAATTCAAAAACCAATCTGTGTGTCTGAATGACATGCACTTAGATAATATATTATTTCATTAATATAAATAAGTTTTGGAAAAAAATACAATAAACATATATATATATTCATAATAGTCATGATCTGTGGTTTACCAATCTGAATGAGGACACAAATTCTAATGTGGCTGACATAAAAATAATTGTGTGTCATTTATATTTCTATAAACCAAATGTTAATAAGGGACAAGGTGGTTGGTTTATCATTAAAAATGTACCAAGCTATATGTAGGCATTTTAAGTGTAGCATTCACAAATCAACAGTTGACAATGACTCTGACTACCCTATCTCGGACAATAGAATAGAAAATCATTTATTAAAAAAAAAAACTTAATTTAAGCACTTTTGAATAGTCAAAATTTTTTTTTTAAGACTACCGCTCATTCAGAAAGCTGTCTCATCACAAGAAGAATAAACAAGAAACTTGTGTATTGTTCTTTTAAACAATCCTTGTAAATCTTCACATTTTACAAGTTGAAACATGTGAATGCAAACTACCAACCAGCACAAAATTTTTGGGTCAAATATAAATATACCACAAGATTAAATCAGTCGTAGTGATAAAGAGCAGACCAGTCTCTACAAGCGGCACTTGTTCACAAGCATGACTGATGAAACATGAAGATGAGCCAGCCATCACTGCGCTCGACCATATTAGATGGAGCCCAATGAATAGCTGGGTGAATATGATATATAAATATCAATAACATGGTGGATAAAAAAAAATGTCATAACAAAGTAATATCAAGTTAACAAATACTAAATAGTACCTTATAAAATACAGAATCACTAGTAACGACAGTGGCAGTAGCCGTGGGTGCTTTCAGAGGTTGTCTTTTGAATATACTCCTGCGGCCCCGTCCGCGGGGCGCCGGTGGCTTGGCAGGAGCTGGCGTGTTAGTCTTAGGTTTGTATCTCGTCGATCTGGTGCTCTTTCTCGTCCCCTTGCCGGTCGCTTTGGCCGGCGTAGAGTCTGTCTCACTTTTACTGCTCTTCTCCTCCTCCCTATCATCTTTTTTCTCGTCAGATTCTACTTTAACGGAGACATCGAGTTTGGTTTCTGTGGCAGTGTTAGCTAGGTGACAATCGTTGCATATTTGACCGTTCTCTGCGTTACGCCAGAGCAACGAATCGTTGGTGCTACACTGAACACACACGGGTTTCGGCATTTTATTTCAATGGTAATTCAGAATTTAAAATAAATTAGAGAGAGACATTAATCTCAAATTACCACTTCCAAACAGAAATAATTAAATCTGATTTCTTAACAATAATAACAAAAATATTGACTGTTGCTTGAAGGATCAGTCAATGAATGACTGACTGTCCGAATGATTGACAGCATGTGACAGTAGAGTTTGACACTTTTGACATTAGTTCCATTTTATGTAGAAAATTACAACCACAGACCTACGAATCTCAAAGGATTTATAGTCTGAGTTTTTTATTTTCTTTATTATGTAGTGTGAACCGCTCGTGTAGTAAAAGAAACTGTCAATAGCGGCATTAGTTTTTTTTGTATATGATAATGAAATGGTGCACCCGCCTGCACTAATGGTTTACGCTGGCGGGGCACCAGTGGAAGATGATAAGATGAGAATGAGGTCAGGTCAGTTAGCCCATCGTGATAAATTAATCTGGAATTTATCACAATGGTTTCCAGGGGGAACCGCGTGGAGGTCAACCTGACATGGTACTTTGCTAGCAATGGGGTCGAGAGTCCACATTAGTAACAATCCCTTTCCCCCCCTAGCGGCATTTGTTCTAATAATGATTTCCATTTCTTCCTTTCGAAATGAAACTTTATTATAATTAAAATATTTGATTCTCAAGTCAAATGTTTGGGAAAGTACCTACATAAAGTATTGGTACTTTATTGTATAGCAAGGGGACAAGAAATCAAACAGAACTTTTAACGAATCACATCCAGTATAAACTTTTAATTAGACGATCCAGTTGAAGAGGCACTTTTATGAAGAAGTAAGCATTTTCTTACAGTAATAATAATAATAACAATAATAAATCCATTTATTGCCAATATGAGTATAGTTATATAGTACACATTTATAGATATTTAATAAGATTGGCAATAGGTACAAACTCGGCTATTGCTGGACTGATGGGCGTTTAGCGCTGGTTTTCAGTTTGTACCTACGCGGGCGTACCTCATCACACTTGCTAGATAACCATAACACAACATAATGAAATAAAAATTTAACAAAAATAATATCCATACGAATACACAAAAATTCACATTTTTGTCGAGATTTGTCGCCGCTATCCAAGGGCTGTCTCTATCTAATATAATTTTCCTTAAATAATTTTTAAATTTTAGTACAGTACAGCTTACTGTATCTCTTACCTACCAATGGGGTATGGCATGGGTATGGCAGGGTATGGCAGGGTATGGCAGGGTATGGCAGGGTATGGCAGGGTATGGCAGGGTATGGCATATTAGTCCTTAGGATTGAATACTTTTGAGGGATACGACGAGTTTCCACTATATCTTATATTATGATATGACGCTGTTCATGTCTATAGGCAATTGTTGTTATTGCCAGTTTAGAAAGAACTATATATTAAAAAAAACACACTTATGTAGAGATTTTAGCCCCTTATGAACGTAATTTTTTTATATTAATATTGTTTTTACTACCGTCCAGTTTAGTAACAAATGAAACTGATTTTATTTTTAAAATTGTACATGTATGTACTTATCTAGGTGTGTATATCAAACGTTAAATGAAAATCCTGTGCATGGCTACTATTACCATGCACGGCAACCGTTTTGTGAATGATAGGGTTTGCTCAATAAATCTGATTTGACATATGTTCATTCCTACACATAAGTACATCTTAGTAATATTGTAAACGCGAAACTTTGTGAGTATGGATGTTTGTTACTCTTTCACACAAAAACTATTGAACGGATTTTGATGAAATTTTACAGTAATATAACTTAAGCATCAGAATAACAAACAGGTAAAATTTTTGGGGGTGAAACCGCGGGCACAGCTAGTGTTTTAAATAAAAACAACAGGTAGATACGTATAAAACAACATTTTATTTGAGAAGCGCACGATTTTAGTGTTACAGTGAATAAGTTAGGATTAAAAGTAAGGAATGTACATGTATAAATGTTTGCACACTTATATCAAATATTAAGCCTAAACTTATTATGTACTTACAATTAACATAACATAAGTTACAGTATTAAAGCCGTCATCGTAAATTAAATGCATTATGTAACGCCCAGACGAGTAAAGCGAGAGCCTAAACTAGTATACGTTGTTATTTATTTGTTTTGAATGATAATGTAATGGTGCACCCGCCTGCGCTTACAGTTTACGCTGGCGGGGCACCAGTGGAGGATGACAACATGAGTATAAAGTCAGATCAGTTAACCCATCTTGGCAAATGGTAATTTACCATGATGGTCTCCAGGGGGACCCGCGTGGAGGTCAATTTAACTTGGTATATCGCTAGCAATAGGGGTTATTATTCCACATTACTAACAACCCCCTTTCCTCCAGCTAGTGTACGTATAACAACAGCCAATAGACATCAATCAGAAGCGTAGCGTGCCTTGGCCGGGCCCCGTACAAAATTTATTTCGGGGCTCTTAGGGATTTCTCACAAAAAAAATTGCATAAAATGAAAAGAAATATTTATTCATCATAATTATCTATTTGTCACTTTTTCCAAAATTTTAACGAACAATTCAAATTAAATATACACTCTTGCCTTTTTTTTTGGAAAACTGATTTATTAAGTCAACGGGGAAATCCCTCAGCCCGGGATAACAGATATAGAGTGTTGCCAACCTTTGAACGCATGCTTTACGCGGGAAAATAAAGAAATAACTTTTTTTTTACTTTTATCATTTGAAAAAATTGGGAAGGCAATTTTTGCTACGTACGGTGGGGCCTCCGTGGCATGTGGGCCCATGTAATTTATAGGGCAGATAGCCGTAGTGGAAGCTACGCCTCTGACATGTATAATCATAGTAGTCTCATTAGCCCATAAATCTCTTGATATTTGTTCGATAATTCCTCTAACACCTCAAGCAATGATGTCATTAAACTAGTCTGTTGTAGTCCGCGTGTAAATATTGATAAACATGAATCGCATACAAACATTGTCAGGTGGTCACTGGTTGAAAATTATAATTTGCACAGTTAGTACTCAACTCAAGTCTTGTTTTTTATAGCCGTCCTACTAATTTCGTACTATTTTAGTACTCAGCGAGAATATTCATTTTTGTGAAATATCAAAATGTAGAAACATACATTAAAGATGAACATAATCTACATTTTTTATATTTTCTGTATTTTTTTGTAATTGTGTGTACTGAAAATAATGTACATACTAATGTACATTTCCATCTTTCCCATCTTCCTTTATTATTGTCACTTTCAAAATATACGTCTTTACCAAGTTTCGCTGCATATAAAATTATGTACAGTCCTTAAGAAACCTAGTTGTTAAAATATTGGTCATTTCGCCAACGAAGAACCATGGTAAAGACGCATTAAAAGATTGTATTTAAAATATACGTAAAAATACAATAATAATATAAAAAATGTGCATTATGCACAGAAGACAGTTTGTTTTATATATTTTTTTGTGATCGTCAAAAACAGCTATGTCTGTTACAGTTATTAATCTTGATACTAGTGTCTTTATATAATGCAGTATGTTTGTCAATGGGTGATAATGGAATGCCGTACTCACCTGCGCTAACGGTATACGCCAGCGCGGCACCAGTGAGGATGATAAAATGAGCATAAAGTCAGGTCAGTTACCACATCGTGACAAATTCACTAGAAATGTATCCCTGCAATTGTATTTAAACTGTTTTCCTAAAGGATAACTGGGAACTTCAAATTATTTTGCTTAACGTGACATGAGTTGGAGCGAACGTGGGTCGAGCCCGAGTGATGTCACTCGCAGACGTGGATCTGTGTGTGCGCGAGGCAAGTGACGTCACTCGCAGACGTGGGTCTGTGTACGCGCGAGGCAGGTGACGTCACTCGCAGACGTGAGTCTGTGTGCGCGAGAGGCAGGTGTCGCAGGTGACGTTGCAGCACCAGTGGAACTTGCAGCGGCACTGCACCTGCTTCACCACGCGCACCGTGCTGTAGCCGCGCCCGCAGCACAGCTTCTCGCAACCGTCCTCATCTACGAATATTACAATGTTTATGTTACTAGACAAGTAAATAAGCGCACCCTGTATGGAATAATGTTTATATATATACTTATTTTTTAAGTCTACCCTACATAGACATACATTTGGAAAGCTGTCTTATAATTAGAAAGACGAGTAAGAAAATTGCGTTTTGCTCTCTTATGGAGCGGATGAAGACAAGCTCGTGCCTGACTGATACGACTTCAATTTAGGGCACCTGCTGTCGTAATTTAGATCTCCGTTTGGATTGGATCGGATATCTATCAGAGGGTAGTCACGTGACGTGTTTCTGTTCATGTGTATAGGTTATAGTTGCCTCAGTGTGACGTCAGTTTTCTTGCCATTATAGTTATAGGTATACGTTAGAGGTAGCAACAGAAAATATAACATAGTAGTCAATTGACCACACGGAAAGTGGCCAGAGTGCCTTAGCTAATTTCTGAAGTTACTTTAATAAAAAAATGTAGGTGTAAGTCTAATTATGACTGAGGGTAGGTTAGAACGATGTATCATTACATAGTATAAAACAAAGTCGCTGTCGCTGTCTGTCCCTATATATGCTTAAATCTTTAAAATTACACAACGGATTTTGAAGCGGTTTTTTAATAGACAGTGATTCAAGAGGAAGGCTTATATTTATTAAAAAAGGAATTCTCGGCTTAAAAATAAGTACCGGTGGAGGTCCGGTTGCAGTGTCGTCCGTGTGTACCGAGCGAGCCGGCGGCCGCGTCGGGCTCGCAGTACGACGGCGACGCCGCCAGGAACACCAGCTCAGTCTTGCGCGGCGGACGGCCCACGCCGTTCTGACGGTATCTGCAAGTCAAGCATTGGGAACTGTTACTATCACTATCAGTGGCACCGGAGGCGGAATGAGTACGGGAGGACTGATGGCATGCGTTCTAGAAGAGAGGATGCCGCTGAAGGAGTGCTGCCCGGCACCGAAGTCACAATTACTGTTGTTCTGGTGTCCACTGCCCCAGAAAGGGAAGAAAGTGTTCAAGGGTCAAGGAACAGAGATTAAATAATTTGAAGGATGTCAAGATGATGTCGCTCACGTGCACTTCTGCGTTTAAGCACGCATAACCTCGGCGTTAGGATGGTCATGGGTGGGTTGGAGGGTTGATCAGCGAGGTGGGGGTGCGCGCGGCGGTACTTGTGGTGTGTGGTGTACTGACCGGCGGAGTGCGGGGTGCGGGGCGCGTGCGGGGGCGGCGGGGGAGTCGGGGGGCGCGGCGCGGTGGAGGCGCGCGCGGCGGTACTTGTCCCGGAGCGCGGCCGCCACCGCCCTGAACTGAGGCAGCGCGCGCCAGCACGTGCGCACCGCACACGACCCCGACACGCCGTGACACTTGCACTCGCGCCGCACCAAGTCCTTCACCGTCTGCGTACACATCACCAAAAAAAAACAAATAATAACCTCAGGACAATTCACACAGCGCCATCTAGACCCGAGTTAAGCTAGCTAAAGCTTGTGTTATGGGTAATAGATGACTGCTACAAATACATAGATTTTTTTTCGTAAATATATACATATTATACATAGAAAACACCCAGACAAATACAAACAATCATACTCATGAATACAAATGAGTCCCGCGTCCATCGGAAGTAAAGCGTTGTGCTAAACCAATAGTGGTTTAGCACAACGCTTTACTTCCGATGGTATAGACCAACGAGCCATGAAATATAAAAAAAAAAAGAGTACCTATAATTTTTTTATAATGGATGATACTTAATTGATTGGTGTCCCGCGTGTCCTAACGGTATACTATGGAACCAGTGGAGTGGAGGATGATAGGATGAGCATGAGGCCGAGTCAGTTTGGCCATCGTGGCGAATTTACCAAAAATTGGTGGTCAATTATTATTCTTGGTAAACGTTAATAGTAGTGGAACTAAAATAAATAATATGAATTCATTCAGATTAGATAGATCTCAGTGGTGTTCTGGAGATCATTCTTCACTTCGAAATAAATATTATGAGGTAAATAAACTGACGATTGTCAATTTAATTCGCTATCACATTATAATTTTCTATTGTCACACTATTATTCCATCATTTTGAAACAATCTTCTGCTTAAGTAATGTATTAGTAACGCCATCTAGTATTGAGTAGCTGCATAACATGATCTAGCTATTTTATGATAGATGGCGCGAAGAGATAAAAGTGCGATCCTTTCGTACAAAATGTCTACTGAAGACAATAATTTAATTAGATTTACCTAATTAGAAGTTAGAAAAATTAAATTACAATAATATAACATACATTATTGTATTTCTAATAGTACTAATAATACCTTTTCTTTGTCTTTTGAAAATACAAGATAATGGTAAAATGATCAATTAAAGCTAATATTATCGTGCTAAATAACATTTTATACAATTTTTGTCTGTCTGTCTGTTTGTTCCGGCTTATCTCTGAAATGGCAGGACCGATTTTGACGCGACTTTTTTTGGCAGGCAGCTGATGTAATAAGGAGTAACTTAGGCAACTTTTATTTTAGAAAATAAAGTTAAATTCCACGCGTACGAAGTCGCAGGTTCAGCTAGTCTAGAATGAAATTTAATTAGTGGTAAGGAATTTCAGTGTAATGTAATTTATAAATAGCACAGATAACATAATATTTAAATAGTAACATAACTATGATCCTGCATATGGTGCGGCTAAGGCAATTTGTTCACAGGTGAAGTAATGGAGCGATTAGTTTTAGGGTACAATGGGGTTGGCATGTACTTAGATGGTACTAAAGTTCCTAAATTTAAAAAGAAATAAAAAAAAAACATAACTATAAACACAATCGAAACTGAGGAGCCATTTACAGGCTTTTGCAATTTGATATTGTTTGCGAGAGTCATCATTGCATTATTGAGGATAATGTAGTACACGATCTGTGTGTAATAACAGTCACTTAGTGAGATGAGAGATGCAGACCACTCACTGTTCCTTGACATTTGAATACCAGATATCTTTGTCGGAGCTTTCATTTCTGATTCGTTCCGTTCACGCCCTCGTTGTACCGACACAAGTCTATTCTTATGAGACAGGAGTTAGCCTTCAGCCATTTCACAAGCCCTTTGGTTTGGAATCTGCATTTGCCGTTATTGTTCGGTGAAGCTGTAAAGGCCAGCTGCAGTTAACAGCGTTACAGTAGTTTCTTGCTCGTTCTTCTTGTGATGGGTGTTGTTTTTTGAATGAGCGGTAGAAAAAAAATACTATTCTAAAGTGCTTATATTAAGTTTATTTGAATACAGATTATTTCTATTTCTTTGTCATTATACCCTCTCTCTTCCTAGTTATGTATCACACCAGGGATGTTACGGAGCTCCGTAGCCGTAACCGAATCCGAAATAAAAGTTTCGGACAATATCGGATAGGGGCGGAGCCTAATTGAGACACGTTATGTAACTATTTTGTTAGCTATTTGCATTTTACTTTTAATTCCTTAAAAAATTAATATCCGTAACCGAAATTATCCGAACCTAACGGATAATCCGAAATAATTTCATATCCGTATCCGTATCCGGTACAATAATCATTCCTATATCCGAAACCTATCCGTATCCGATATTTCATACCCATAACATCTGTGTCACACATGGTAGTGGAGTAAGCTTTCCTTGTTTTCTTCGCCACTTTTCCCTGCCCCAGATGGCGGTCCTCCACAATGCGGTTTTTGACACGCACAACCACATTGTAGAATCACCTTACAGCAATAGTATTTCCGATACGATATTGAAACCTTCAAGAGCTTATTCCTTTTTAAAAGGCCGACAACGTACTTGCAATTCCACTGGTGTTGCGGGTGCTCATGGGCGGCGGTAATCACTTACCATCAGGTGAGCCGCATGCTCGTTTGTCTCCTGTGTTATAAAAATCGTCGTCCACGCGGGTGTAACGGTGGCCACAGCTAGTTATGTTATATTTATTCATATTTGTTATATATTCCGGTGCGAAGCCGCGCCGAGTCGCTAGTGGTCTGTGTGTCTGTACTGGTCTGTGTATACAAACATTAATATTACGCTTTACGAGCGCCTCGTGACATTTTGTACTTCTTTTTTTTCAATACTTACGCGATTATTATGCAGCTAAAATAGTTGTTCGCGAATCAATTTGCATATTTTGTATCTATACCTTAATGTACTTGTTGAGATGTAGTTACGACGGTCGTGTTGCGCTGGAGGCTATGCTATTTATATTTTACTAGCTGTTCCCGTGGCTTCGTTCGCGTGGAATTTAACAAAAAAGTTAATTAGTTTTTGCATTGCAACATTACTTTATTTTTCTAAAATAAAGGTAGCCTAAGTTATTACTTATTACATCAGCTTCCTGCCAATAAAAGTCCCGTCAAAATCGGTCCGGCCATTTCAGATATTAGCCGGAACAAACAGACAGACAGACGAAAATGGTAAATAATGTTATTTTGGTGTATGTACTGTATTTATATTCATATGCATGTAGTAAAAAACGGTTATTGCAATATTACAAACAGACACTCCAATTTTATTTATATGTGTTAATTGTGCTAAGGCTGGCTTGTGGCCGGCCGGCAGATACGTACACATCTATAGCTACACTCCTAATAGACCAACCAATATGTCAATATGTGTAGATACGGTAAAACTCGCCGATAATGCAACATTGTGGACAAACTATATATGATACAAAATGACTTAAGTATTTTTAGGAGTTAGGACGAGGACTTGTAGGAGTTTAGTTTAGGAGTTGTTAATAATAATAATAATCTCAGGACAATTCACACAGCGCCATCTACTCCCAAGTTAAGCTGGATAAAGCTTGTGTTACGGGTACTAGATAACTGATACAACTGCATAGATATATTTTTTTTTGTAAATACATACATATTATACATAGAAAATACCCAGATTGATACAAACAATCATACTCAAGAATACAAATTTTTGTGCGGTGCGAGGAATCGAACCCGCGACCATCGGACATAAAGCGGTGTGCTAAACCGCTAGACCACCGAGATCATCATAATTACAAAAATTCAACCAGAATATGAAATCTTTTCTCTTTAAAACTAAAGATAATTTTAAAAACCAACTAAAAAACATCTAACTGAACAAATTACTTTAATTCCTTAGGAGGTCCCGTATCTGCAGACCTTTATTACTCAACTCAGTCCGCAAGCATTGTCTTCCATCATCTTTGTCATCATCAGTGTCGCGGAGCCTTCACCATATCAATATATGTGTAATCCTTGTTATAGTATTTATGTAGTATAAGTAGTTTAATAACATAATTCATTACATTATTTACAGTTTATTCATACTTTATATATTTTGATAAAGAGCTCGAAGTTTAATATTTATGTGATTTTTTAGTAATAAGTATAGTATAAGTAAGGAGCCAACAGAATATCAGCGCTGCAGAGTTATCTGTAGCATTATACTGAGTTGGCTACCTTTTCACTTTTGCGGCACATAAAGTCTGCTACATTTCTTTTATTAATTCGTGTTTTTTTCTGTATCTCATATATGTTATGTGTCTGTAATCTATATATATATATATAACTCAAAGGTGACTGACATAGTGATCCATCAACGCATAGCCCAAACCACTGGATGGATCGGGCTGAAATTTGGCATGCAGGTAGATGTTATGACGTAGGCTTCCGCTAAGAAAGGATTTTGATTAATTCTATCCCCAAGGGCATAAAAAAGGGATGTAAGTTTATATGGAACTTTGTCAATTTTAAACCGATGTATAAATCTACTATGACGTAGGCATACCCTAAGAAAGGATTTTGATAAATTCCACCCCTAAGGGGACAAATTAACGCGAGCGAAGCCGCGGCCAAAAGCTAGTTGTGAATAAAGAATTTATCTATGTATCTATCTAAAAGTTAAAAAGACATCGGTGCCCGTTCCCGCCGCTCGGTCTCACATCCCTTCAATAAGAATTTGCTTGTACAAATTACGAGTGGCCATATCACGGCCGCGGCGGCGCGGCGGCGGCGCGGCGGCGGCGCCCCACACAGTTGGGTTCCAACATTTGTTTTGTTACTACAATATAATCAACTACTTATGAACCAGGTACATTTATTGCGTGTATTCTTTAAAATTAATTAATAGTTTTTAATTTTAAAAGTTAATTATTTTCACTTGACGCGTTAATAACGTAATAATTAACGTTTTATCACTGCATAAAAGTTACTTACTGTGTGTGGAATTTTAATTTCTTTTCAGTTAGTTAAGCAACAAGAGTAAGTTAATATGGTGCAGTATATTTTATTAACTTTTATATTTAATACTAGCTGTTCCCGCGGGATTGTCCGCGTAGAATTTAACTTTATTTTTCTAAGACAAAACTGTTTTTCTAAAATAAAAGTAGATTAAGTTACTCCTTATTTCATCAGCTACCTGTCAAAAAAAGTCCCGTCAAAATCGGTCCAGCCATTTCAGAGATTAGCCGGAACAAACAGACAGACAGACAAAAATTGTAAAAAATATTTATTTTGGTGTATGTACCTTATATGTATTTATATTTATATGCCTGTATTAAAAAACGGTTGTTTCAATATTACAAACAGACACTCCAATTTTATTTGTATGTAGACTAGCCGTTATCAGCAACTTAGACCGTCTTTTGAAATAAGTAGGTATCTATATTATTACTTTTCAGATAAATTATAGTGTACGTACTGCCCCATGATATAGTCGCTCCTTACATTAAACAGACAGACATGCATTCCCAGTTATAATATTACTAGCTACTCGCCCCGGCCTCGCGCGGATGTACGTCCGATTGATCCGCCGTCCAATTCAAACGGGGACCGATGTTACGACGGCCCGAGCCGAGGTTCGAAACCCTAGAGGTGCCCTCAGGCTAAAGTCGTATCCGTCAGGCGGGAGTTGGCCTTTAGCCGCTCTAAAGTCCTTCCGCGGGTTTGGAGTGCCATCTGCACTCGCCCCTATCGTTCGGTGAAGCTGTAAAGGCCAGCTGCGGCCAGCATTAGAGTAGTCCGAGAAAAAAAGAGAATATTACGTGTACACCAAGACATCGTGCCTTTGAATCGTGCGATTTGAAACGGTCGAGCAAAATTGTTCGACTGGCTCCACCCGAGGCAGCTCGCAGCACCCTAATTGTAGCTTCTGTGGGATACAATTAGGGTTGGCAACTTTTTTTGACAAAAATACGTATATACTGGCTTGGATAGGAAAAAATAAAGTATTTTTCAAATTACATGTTTTTTTTGCATTAAAAACGTATTTTTGTGCGCTTCTAACACTAGATCTGTGACAAATATCACAACTCACAACTGACATATAACATTTGTACACAATATTCTTAACTAATCTGTCATTAGGCGCTCAAACTATCAAGCTATTGGGTGAATTTGCTCGTGAGCAAGCAACGTAACTGTCCATGAGAGAAGCAATGTTCTCTCAAGTCAATACCCGCAAATTTGAGAGTTTGTCCCTACTTTCATTCCCAATTTTATCCCCTTAGAGATGGAATTTATCAAAATCCTTTCTTAGAAGATGCCTACTTCATAGTAGCTTTATGCAAGCAAAGTCACAGCCCGTTCGGTTTAAAATTGACAAAGTTTCATACAAACTTTTATCCCCTATTTTATCCCTTTGTGGGTAGAATTAATCAAAATCCTTTCTTTCTTCTTCTTTTTTAGCGGATGCCTACGTCATAACATCTACCTGCATGCCAAATTTCAACTCTATCCGACCAGTGGTTTGGGCTGTGCGTTGATAGATCACTATGTCAGTCAGTCACCTTTGAGTTTGAGTTGAGATATTTGTAGATGGTTGGCAACCCTAGGTAGAACCGATCATTTTGCACAATACCGTAATTGGAGCTGAGAATATAGAGAAACATTAGTAACTCTGATTGCTATGCGCGCCTCCCGGGACCTCTCAATGACACATAATATCACTAATACTGCGGTTTATTTCCATCTCAGTAACGTTTCCACAGCTACCAATTTGTGGCAATTAGTCCATCCGTGGGACAGTTTTAAAACATCTTGAGCCCGGTTCTGAATAGCATTTTTCTGTAGTTGTTTTTTTATGTACGTAGCGGTTTCTATCGCATGCTCCTTACCTCTTATTGTGTAATTATTTATTAAAAAAAAACATCTGTCCAAAAGAAAAACACAAGTTTCTCGCACATTCTTCTTGTGATGAGTCTGCGTTCCGATTGAGTGGTAGAATAAAAATATGACTATTCAAAAGTGCTTGTATTGAGTTTATTTGAATAAAGATTATTTCTGTATTTCTGTGTGATAAAAACTGCCTGGCTTGTTGTTTTTTATAACTGACTAGCAGACCCACGCAACTTCGTCTGCATTTCATTCCCCGCCTTTTTCAATATTTTTCATTACAGCTCCGCTCCTATTGGTCGTAGCGTAATGTTATATAGCTTAAGCCTTCCACGACAAATGGATTATCCAACACGAATAGAATTTTTCAATTCGAACCAGTAGTTTTTGAGGTTAGCGCGTTCAAACAAACAAACAAACTCTTCATCTTTACAATATATATATAATAGATCCACTGGCGAGGAGGAGAAGTTAGGATGAGAAGTCTCTTTATGTGGTTAAAAGAGAGATTCGAAGATTATTTTCTCTATTTGTGTGTGTCCTTTTACGCAAAATAAAGTTTTATTTATATATATATAAGTACTAGCAAGTTAACGAAGCAGAAGAAACCTTTAAATATATTTTTTATTATATCATTCATTCAGCATACCATAACAATATAGTGTGGGAATAAAGTTCCCGCCAGAAACTAAAATACCATCCTGATCATCTTGATGATTGGCGGTCCCCAACAATGCGGTTTTCTAGAAACAAGCACAATAGATCTATGTAGGTCGCAGTGCTACAGGTCCATGCACCTGACTATAGCCCAAACGACCCAATAAAAAAAACCTTAATAAATAAACTAGGATATACATTAGGATATGTAACTTTATAATAAATCACGATGATAATGTCCGTCGGTATCAAACGTATGTACCTCGCTCACCTTCCTGCCGACGCGGTTGTTGTGCAAGTTCATGGCGCTTCTGGCGTCGGCCTCCAGTTCCCTGGCGTCGAGGAACCGTCTCGCGAACCTCCCCCCGAAGGCCAGCTCCCCGCAGCCGCCCCACTGGAACTGCTCCGACGTGGTGGGGCTGCTGCTGCGCCGCCGCTGCGAAGATAGTCTGCTGGCGTGACATAGATGAAATCAGGTGAATACATTTCAATTGAGATTATTTAGCTGTGGCTGCGGTTTCACCTGCGTGAAATATCCGAGTTATAGCCCATGAGTTATTCTGATAGAAATAGAAATAATCTTTATTCAAATAAACTCATTACAAGCACTTTTGAATAGTCATATTTTGATTCTACCACTCATTCGGAACGCAGATTCATCACAAGAAGAATCAGCAAGAAACTTGTGTGTTGCTCTTTTGAATAGGTGTTTTTTATATATAAATAATTACAATATAACAAGTAAGAGGCATGCGATAATCAACATAGAAATCGCTACGCACTCATTATTAGTGTAATCAGATATGTAATATTGTCAGTGCTATAGATTTAAAGTTTTTCTATAAAAACATTATTATCGTTAACGAATTCTTCAATTTTATAGTAAGCTTTTTTGCAAAGGAACTGTTTTATTTGACATTTAAATATTTTTTCCTGCAGATTTATAACAGACTCTGGTATTTTATTGTAAAACCTTACGCAATTGCTATAAAATGATGTACAAGCTATATTATTTTTAATTTTCATTTAGTAGTTTTTGCGTGAAAGAATAACAAATATCCATCCATCTATGTCCATCCACACTCACAAACTATATAATATTAGTAAGTTTAACTCTTATTATTTTCCATATTTCCAAATTTTCTATTTAATGAATTTAGTCTACTTTGATAGACATCTGTAAGAAATTGCTTACAGCGAGCGATAAGACCGACTTTTGTTACTACATTTCTACTCAAAGTTTTACTAGTTACATTTCTGTGCACAATAATGAGTTTATTATTATAATATACTAGCTACTCGCTCCGGCTTCGGACGGGTGTACATGTATTATATATATATAAACCTTCCTCGTGAATCACTATTAAAAAAAAACCGCTTCAAAATCCGTTGCGTAGTTTTAAACATTTAAGCATACATAGGGACAGACAGACAGCGACAGCGACTTTGTTTTATACTATGTAATGATAGGTTTCAGCGCGTGTTGTTATTATTGATATTTGATATTAATATCTTAGATAGATAGATAGATAAGACCTTAGGTCAAATATACATCTCTCATCGTAGTACTGTGATATTTTTTTCTACCTTGTTTCAATTTAATTATATTTATTACTTGCTACTGGCCCGTGTGTACATGTATTATACATATAAAACTTCCTCTTGAATAGAATAGAATAGAAAATCATTTATTCAAATAAACTTATTTAAGCACTTTTGAATAGTCAACATTTTTTTAAATCTACCGCTTATTCGGAAAGCTGTCTCATCACAAGAAGAATAAGCAAGAAACTTGTGTGTTGCTCTTTTAAACTTTGAATCACTGTATGTATTAAAAAACCGCATCAAATTACGTTGCGTAGTTTTAAAGATTTAAGCATAGATATGTTTTATACTATGTAATGATTGTGTTTGTAAATAGCCGTGGTATTAATTAAATAAATAAATTAGAGTATATACCTGTTGTGCGTGCAGCCGCAGGAGGGCAAGTCACCTCGCGCGCAGGCCGCACTCAGAGCATGCGTGGCGCCCGCCGCCGTAATTGCGTACGTGAACGCAGCCTCCCGCGTCGCTGTCCAAGAGTGATACACTTTATTAAAAACAGCCAAGCCAAGTTCCTTACCCAATAGCTGCCTTTACAGGCAGGGGCGGTTGAATTTGTAGGGCCCTGGGCTAAATCTACTTATGGGCCTATTTAATTATATTACTCAACTAAAAACTACACCGACCAACAATAGGCGACCAGAAATTTCCCGTTCTTTTCGAGAGACGCGCACTTGTATGGGTTGAATTCAGGATTGCCAACGTTATGATAGGTTTTTTACATTTTAGATATGTTTTTATGTTCCAAAATATCGTTGCAGTGGGGACTGGGGACCCTTTGTATCCTCGGGGTGTTGAGCTGCAGCCCAAAAAGCCCTTAGGTAGATCCACCCCTGTTTACAGGTACGTTGTCTTTATTTTTTTTGGGATTTTATTGCACATGGAAACTAATATTTGTGGAATATAAAATTAAGTATTAATTGAACATGAAACAGTTAATGATATACGCACAGTCACTCGCGAAAGGCTGGACACCAAATATATATAAATACTTAGACTTTCCCGCGTTAAATAATACATCGTGTTTCTTAATTTTAAACCTTCTTAACTTTAATTCTTCTTGATAGAAGTGTAAGAAGCACTAATTAATGATGATAGCTTTGAAGCCGGCTACCGGAAGAGAAACCCCAAGTAGCGCCCGTGACTTGTGACACGGGTGTAGGTTTAAAAGGCCCTTTTAGAATGCATTAACACTCACCTTCACTACTTACTTCACAAATCTATTTTTAATACAATTCACTTTAATATCTAAAACACAACCGGCACGCCCTGCGCCCGTCAACTGAATGCCGCGGCTTATTCAACGAAGGAGAATTATTCAACTACCGACCTCCGTATTTATAGACCGAAGTCAGTGTCGTAGGTCGGTCTATAAACACTAGATGGCGCTATTTACGATATTTGTAATAATCTTTACATTGGGTACTTCATTAGTACTAAACACAAACTACCTTCTAATATCTTTTTAAGATATCGGATTTTTCTATAATATTGATGTGACGACTTCGGTGGTCTAGTGGTCTAGCACACCGCTTTACGTCCGATGGTCGCGGGTTCGATTCCTCGCACGGCACAAACATTTGTATTCATGAGTATAATTATTTGTGTCGGTCTGGGTGTTTTCTATGTATCATATGTATGTATTTACGAAAAAAAAATATATATGTATTTGTATCAGTTGTCTAGTACCCATAACACAAGCTTTTACCTAGCTTAACTTGGGTCTAGATGGCGCTGTGTGAATTGTCCTGAGATTATGAGATTACAATATGAGATTACAACTCTAACAGAAGGTATTTCCCAATGTTACAGTATATTAAAAAAAATACTTGTTTATATTAATAAATTATATTTGCTTCTGTATGTATATATCTATTTACATTAAATATCTTCAACAAAATCAAATCAACTTAAAAATAATTCATGTAGGACATTTTAGCCCCTTATGAACGTCAAAGTTTTTATATTAATATTTTTCATCAAAAACTGGTTAATACAGTTTACAAAGCTTATGGGCTCGGTGGTCTAGCGGTTTAGCACACTTTACTTCCGATAGTTGCGGGTTCGATTCCTCGCACGGTACAAACATTCATATTCGTGATTATGACTATTTGTTTTCTATGTATGTATTTACAATAAATAAAAATGTATCTACGTATTTATATCAGTTGTCTAGTACCCATAAACACAATGTCTGCTTAGCTTGTGACTAGACGGCGGTACATGATTTTCCTGAGATTTTATTATTATTAAAGCCTTCAATACCATTTGAAGTGAGCTTTTTAACATAACATCGTTTAAAACCAGTTACTGAGTACACAAATACGATTTCCAATTGATGCACGCTGCAAGATCCCCCAGTACTTAGTGCTTATCTCACTACTTGAGTGTACTAGGTTTAGACAAGTGATACGTGTTGACATAGTAATGCGTAATAATATGTATCCGTACTTTAATATGTCATTTATTTTTTATTTTTATTTATTAACTAGCTTTTGCCCGCGGCTTCGCTCGCGTTAATTTATCCTCTTAGGGTGGAATTTATCAAAATCCTTTCTTAAGGCATGCCTACGTCATAATAGCTTTATGCATGCAAAGTCTCAGGACAAAGAATTTATCAAAATCCTTTCTTAGCGGATGCCTACGTCATAACATCTACCTGCATGCCAAATTTCAGTCCGATCCGTCCAGTGGTTTGGGCTGTGCGTTGATAGATCACTATGTCAGTCACATTTGAGTTATATATATTTATATTGGAGCGACCAACAAGACATACAGTATGAGGTTACGATTATTATCACTTGTATGCGTAAATGTTTACAGAAGTTTATATATGTATATATATTTATCTTTTTATTTTATTTTACTTATATATACCAACAACACGAGGAGAATTACAAGTACGTTGTCGGCCTTTTAAAAGGAATAAGAGAGAGAAGAGAGAAATGTGGAAAGTTTCTAGAAAACCGCACTGTGGAGGATCGCCATTCATGCAGATGATCAGGATGGTATTTTAGTTTCTGGCGGGTGGTACGGTGGTGAAACTCAGCAGCTGGTATTAATCCGAACAATTCCTCAGAACACTCCCCGTGATATATGCGGAAATGCACAGAGATGCAATATCTCGCCGCAGAGCCAATGGGTCGAGTCGAATAAACAATAAAAATTAATTTATCAACAGACAAATATAAAAAATCAAACGATAATTGCCTCGTACAATATCATCAAACAATACAATAATTTCTATTGAACAAATACGCGCTCACCACAGACAGATCTGTCAAATTAATTTACGATTCACACGAGCATGTCGCAGCGACACGACAAACAAACAAACAAACAAACAGTGGAACACGTTCGGACACCACTCGAACATGTCACACAATTAACAGGATTGTAAAGCAAATAAAAATGTTTAATTGCGCGACACTTGACGTACAAACAAACATGCTTCCCAGCCGGAACGCTCTAGTGAGTGTCTTTATATTATACGATCGTCTACGACAACGAAATTGTTATATGATATGTTTTTTATAACATTTATTTATACATGTTTTTCTCTCATGTATGCTTTGTATTTATAATTGTTGAATAAACAGAAAAAAAAATACATATTGGCCTCGGTGATCTAGTGCGGTCGCGGGTTCGAAGTCTCGGAGGGTACAAAACAATTGTATTCATGAATATGATTGTTTGTATCGATCTGGGTATTTTCATAAAAAAATGTATTTATATTTGTTGTTTAGTATCTATAACACAAGCTCTGTCTCTTAGTTTGATACTAGATGGCACTGTGTGAATTGTCCTGAGATATTATTATTATTTATAATAGATATTAAATCTATGAAAAGCAAATGAAATTGCGATTTGTATGGAAAAAATGTAAAGTATAATATAATAATCTCAGGACAATTCACACAGCATCATCTAGACCCAAGTTAAGCTAGCTAAAGCTTGTGTTATGGGTACAAATACATAGTTTTTTTTTTGTAAATATCTACATATTATACATAGAAAACATCCAGACCTATACAAACAGTAGATAAATATGATCAATACAAATGTCTGTGCCGTGCGAGGAATCGAACCTGCGACCATCGGATGTAAAGCGGTGTGCTAAACCGCTAGACCACCGAGGTCGTCAATATATTCATAGATATTGCATGATAAGCAATTGCTCTTAGGTTAACTAAATTAATAAAAAACTTTTTTGAAAGTCTATACTTTGAACAGCGAGTCTATCAACTACTTTAGTGTCGTGTCGTACACGTATCGTATCGTGAGATGTAAATGTCATTAGTGTAGTAGAGCCGACGGCGGGTCAATTAGCTGTCGCGTATAAATCACGCGACTCAATGTGGGTGTGACGGTCACGACACACCGTGCACCGTCCGCCGTCCGCCACCACCGGCCTGTTGGTACCTCTACCACCGCCACCTACACGCCAACTGGTAAGTTTCTTGCTCATTCTTCTACGTCGAATTTGCATTTCAAATGAGCGGTAAAATAAAAAAGTATATTCTAAAAATGAATCTATATTTTTGTAATAAAAGAAGAATACGAGCTGAGTTTCTTGTCAGTTCTTTTCAGCTCGTAATCATTCCGAACTGATGGTAGTCTGTAATAAACCTACATGAATAGAGATATTTTGATTTGATGTGTTTTTATTACCATGAGATTTTACTGAGCATAAAAAAATGTTAGGATCAGACCTGAGTTTTTTGCCAATTCACAGCTCGTAAGTACTCTGAACTGAAGGGTAGAACAAAAAAGACAATTCTAAATATTAATCTGTATATTTGTAATCACTTACAAACCCATCAGAGGAGGATGTCAGAGAAGAACAAAAAAGACAATTCTAAATATTAATCTAAGGACGGTGTTATATTGTGGATGGTTATAAGGGTCACCGAAAAAGAGATGGATGGACTGTGTGAAAGATGATCATTTGACTAAACAGAGATAAGAGAAAAACATATTACGCCGACCCCAAATAAATGGGATAAGGAAGAAGCAGATGATGACTTACAAACTCATTTGATAAGAATAAGAGCTAAGTTTCTTGCCACTTTTTACCTCGGAGGGGTAAAACAAAAAGACATTTCTAAAAATGAATCTATATTTTTGTAATCACCTCCAAACTCATTTGAGAAGAATAAGAGCTGAGTTTCTTGTCAGTTCTTCTTAGCTTCAAAGCACTACCTGATGTTAGATTTGACATATCATAAGATTCTGTAATAGATCTACATTACTAGAGATATTGAAGGGAGATAGTTTATAAGTTCGCAGTAGATAATTTTAATAAATCTCAAGTTACCGAGAGGCATGACGTGCCCGAAGTAGGTGTCGTCTCCAACTCCTGAGCAGTTCCACCGCTGGCCGCTGAGCTGCGCGCGGCACTCCTCGTAAGCCATGCTGCAACATGTCAAAGGACTTACACATATGATGCCAGATCTCAGGAACGTTTTTAAAGATAATGCATTAATAAATAAGAGTCCTACTAAATAGTTCTACTCTATGGAGAACTCACGAATTAGTATCAGGATGAAGAACAAAATTGCGAATAATTAGATACCGATCACTCTTCCGATATATCGATCTACGTCTTTCAGCCCATCGAACCCCTAGCGGTGCCCTTAGACTACAATCGGATCCGTCACGTAGGGCTTGGCGTACAGCCGCTCCATAAGTCCTTCCTTTGGTTTGGAGTGTCATCTGCACTCGCCTCCTGTCGTCCGGTGAAGCTGTAAAGGCCAGTTGCAACCAACAGCATTTTGAATACAGTTCAAATCCCTTACAGCTGTATTTTCATTCAATTAGTACACAACCCCAGAGCTTCGTTTTTATACACCCTTACCTGCATGTTCTGTCTTGTCGTGTCTTAGTTTTTTTTTCGGACTACTCTAATGCTGTTGGCCGCAGCTGGCCTTTACAGCTTCACCGGACGATAGGGGGCGAGTGCAGATGGCACTCAAACCAAAGGAAGGACTTATGGAGCGGCTGAAGGCCAACCCCGCCTGACGGATACGATTTTAGTCTGAGGCACCGTTAGGGATCCGAACCTCAGCTCAGGTCGTAGTAATTTCGATTCGTTTGAATTGGAGGGGGATTGATCGGAGGGGCGACCGGGGGCATCGGTGTGGAGCGCCTGCCCGGTTGATTGCGATATAGTGTGTTTGAGGTCATCGTCTTCGCCGGCGAGGACGGTGTCGTGTGTAAAAGTGTGGTCGCTGCTCCTGATCTCCAGAATCTGAATTTTATACACCCTTACCGCATGTTGTTCTGTCTGTCTGTTTTAGTAGTAATGTGTGGTAGTACCTGAGGCCAGTGCCGAGTGCGGCGACTGCGGCGGGGGCGGTGTGGCACATGGCGCGTTGTTTCTCGGTGAGGCCACGTGCGCACACTAGTTTCGCACCCAGTAGTGGCGCGCCGCACTCGCCGCGCCTGCAATCATTCATCATTGCTTTATAACCAACTAGTTATCATCTGTAATAAGTCATCTTGTTATTTACTAGCTGTTATTATGACTTCGTCCGCGTTGTAATAAACGTTTTTTTTATTCAAATAGACAATAGTAGCATGAGCACTTTAGGGAGAGGACGACCGAAAAAGATGGATGGATTGAAATAGAAATAGAAAATCATTTATTCAAATAAACTTAATTTAAGCACTTTTGAATAGTCATAGCATTTTTTTTATCTACCGCTCATTTGGAAAGCTGTCATCACAAGAAGAACAAGGAACTTATGTGTTGCTCTTTTAAATAATCCTTGTAAGTTTACATTTATAAGCCGAAACGTGTGAATACAAACTACCAACAAGCACAATTTTTATTGGATCAAATATAAATATGCAAAAAGATTAAATCAGTCGTAGTGATAAGAGCAGACCAGTCCCTACAAGCGGAACTCGTTCACGATATGACGGATGAACCAGCCATCACTGCGCTCGACCATATTTTAGGGAGCCCAATGACCCGGCCCACCACGCCGCCACATGTTGGTGATGGACATTTTAGTGAGCATGACTACTCATTCCACTCGACCACGTCACAGCTACTTAAAATTACTATATGGTAGTTACAGTATTCGCACTTTACATGAGGATGCATGCGGCAATCAATACAAAAGCCGCTACGCTATCATATATCAAGAAAGCAGTGTGAAAAATAAATTATAACGTTGTCCGCAAATAAACTTATTCTTGCTATATATTGCTATCATCTATAAATTCATCTATCCTATAATAGGCTTTTTTACATAACATTTGAATATATATATATATATAATATGAATTGCCTCTCTGTTAGATTTAGCGTATGTAGATTCTGGCAGTTTATTATAGAATCAACATTTTATTATAGATTGTGTGAAAGATGATATGTACAAAAGGAGAGTAAGCCTAAGAGAGTAATATGACGGCTAATAGGGATCAGTGGCAGAAGAGGACATACTGCACCGCCTAGATTTATGTATGTATATGTATTATTATTATTATTTTATTATATTTATTATATATGAAGGTATCCGCAAATAACCAGCGTCATGGCACCCCGTCACGACATATGCTGAGCGGAGACCTATTTGGTACTGTAAAATTAAACAATTTTGTTTCTTTATTTCTTTTCTTTCACCGATCCCAAATAATGGGATAAAGGCAAGGCAATGATGAAAAGTGACGTAAGTTACTCTTAATTCAGGGTAGGCCCACCTTTATGTATCAACGTGCCATTTTTTCCAAAAAAATGTTTAATGGGGTCATTGTCGTGCCATCAAATAATTATTGACTTTCTGATTATTTGGAAAATAATATTAATAAATACTATCAAAACTCTCTATGAAATAAAGTAAACAAAAGAAGTACATTTTGGATTGTTTTACACGCATAAATTAAATTACTGTAAAATTAGTGTGACTTCTGTTGCTGCAGGTTAGATGACAAATAATTTATGTCAGGCTTGTACGATGTTACTTTTAGAAAAATGCATGCTGAACTGGATTCATCATGTCAAACGGTTTCTAACTGAGTTTTTAATGTTATTCATCTCTGAAAATAATGACTCGCAGGCATAGGTAGGTGGAAATATTGTTAAAATAGCATGAGCCAGCTTCTTCAAACAGTTTTATGATCGACGACGTGCCCAAAATATTGTGTGGCGTGCCGTCAATGGCACGCGTGCCACTGGTTCGCCTACCCTGTCCTAATTGATAGTCTGTCAAAAATGGTCCAGCTATTTCAGAAACTACAAGAACAAACAGACAGATAGCTGAAATCTTTTTGGATTATTCTTTTATTTAAGTACCATATATATTTTTTAACACATTCATGAGTCGAGGGAAGCATTTTTTTGTAATTCTTGTAATTTTTTGTAAGTGCTATCACTGGCACAGTCTTTGAACTTTCTAACCGATCGTACATGCACAGCTATAATAACAATAACCCGGAATCATTCACGAAGCGCCATTTAGGACTTGTATTATCGACAAACAAATAAACATACATGAATACAAATAATTGTATGCGACGAAATGAATCCGCGACCATCGGAAATAAGGCGGTGTGCCACCACCGAGGAGCAATATGCCGACGTGAGAAATAGGAGTGTGCGTGACGAATATGAGGAATCGTCAGAACTGATCCTGTAAATTTTCCTTCAGTTTCTATATTTATAAATATCTAACAGATATTTAGGGCACGAGTTATTAGTTCTGCTCGATAAAGCATAGACAATCGCGCGACTCAGTAGACGCGCCGAGACGGCTGCGATGCGCACACAATGGCAGTTCATTCCAGGGCAGATCATAAACTAAATAAACGTTTATATTGCCGCTACAAAACTACGATACTATTACCACAGATAATTCATAGAAATTGTTCATAAAAAATAAGAACATCGAATCACTTATATTTCGGAAAACTTTACTTACGTTCACTTATAGTTCAAGTACCACCGCGATGAGAGATGTTTTTTTATATATGATAATGAAATGGTGCACCCGCCTGCGCTAACAGTGTACGCAGGCGGGGCAACAGTAGAGGATGATAAGATGAGCATGAGGTCAGGTCAGTTAATACATCTTGACAAATTCACCAAGAATTTATCACGATGGTTTCCAGGGGGAACCGCGTGGAGGTCGATCTGACATGGTACATTGCTAGTAATGGGGTCATCAGTCCATATTACTAACAATACCCTTCCGCTCCCTTCCATGTATACTATGTATGAATTTACAAAAAATAAATCTATGTATTTGTATCAGTTATCAATACCCATAACACAAGCTTTAGTTAGCTTAACTCGGGTCTAGATGGTGCTGTGTGAATTGTCCTGGACAATTATATTATAAATTCAAATTAAAAAATCATTTATTTGCGGTTAATAACCGAAGGAGCGAGATTAATGTAAAATTCAATATTATGACGAGGTAGGAAGAGGAATAATATTAATATTATATAAAATATATATATATATAACTCAAAGGTGACTGACATAGTGATCTATCAACGCACAGCCCAAACCACTGGACGGATCGGGCTGAAATTTGGCATGCAGGTAGATGTTATGACGTAGGCATCCGCTAAGAAAGGATTTTGATTAATTCTACCCCAAAGGGATAAAATAGGGGATGAAAGTTTATATGAAACTTTGTCAATTTTAAACTGATCGAGCTGAGACTTTGCATGCATAAAGTTACTGTGAGGTAGGCATCCCCTAAGAAAGGATTTTGATAAATTCCACCCCTAAGGACGGCGTGCGAGCGAAGCCGCGGGCAAAAGCTAGTAGCAAATAATTTGTAATTACATATAACAACTTTCCAAATCAATTAGTAAGCGAATAAATTGGACATTTTGACCACACACTTTTTAATAAATGTACGTGTGTTATATGGCTGTTGTGACTGCAAGGAGGTTGGTATCCTACATTTCATGTAAAACATTTTAGCCGCTTATATACGTAATTTTTTTTATATTACAATTTTTTTCCTTCCCTCCCATAAAAGATCCATGATATACTTGCAGTAGTTGTAATCTCATGCTTTGCTGAGCGTGTCTGAAATGTGCAACTCGTTGACCGGAAGTGATGTGGTCAATGGTCAATGGTCAATTTGTGTACAGCGGAACTGCGCCGGCGCAGGCCACACACAAAGAGCTGGCAGTGAAATTTTTCACTAAATACCGTCAGAAATTGGCGTAAATATAAAAATAATATAAAGTGTTCAGTTGGGTGGAAAGGATTGTATGTAGTGGACACATTTCTAGCAATATACCCTACAATTGTAGTTACCTTGTTTTTTAGTTTATTATTGTTTCTTTTTATCATTTTATACATATAAAGGTATAGAAAATCATTTATTCAAATAAACTTACATTGAAGTACTTTTGAATAGTCAAAACTTTTTTTCTGTTTAATCTACCGCTCATTCGGAATGTTGGCTCATCACAAGAAGAACAAGCAAGAAACTTGCGTGTTCATCTTTTAAATAATTTTATTGTTACTTTACATTTTAAGTTGAAGTGTGTGAATACAAACTACCAATTAGCACTAATTAAATTAAATACTCAAATACTCAAATTGACATGTCTTTTCTATATAAGTTGGTAAATGCTCATATAGATTGTCCTCCCCTACTAATTAAAATTGATTTTAATGTACCCACAAGAATACCACGTCATCCTAGCAACTTATTCAAAAGTAAAGTTTGCAGAACTAATTTAGGTCGTGTTTCACCTGTCGTCCGTTTATCGCGCCTGTACAGGAATGATCTTGCAGAGGAAAATCTGGAAATGGATATTCTCTTTGATAATCATCAGTTTTTAATGTTATTCATCTCTGAAAATAATGACTCGCAGGCATAGGTAGGTGAAAATATTGTTACAATATCATGAGCCAGCTCCTTCAAACAGTTTTATGATCGACGACGTGCCCAAAATATTGTGTGGCGTGCCGTCAATGGCACACGTGCCACTGGTTCGCCTACCCTGCTCTAGAAGGAACCGAAAGAAACCGATTTTCAGCTTCACTCGCAGATCGCCAAATGACTGGACCGTCTTTAACTAGAATATTACTCGGCGATAGCTAATATTTTTTTAGCTATTTAGCTAACATAGACTACTTATACAATAGAAATTTTATTAATTTTATTTTAAAAGTTAATATATAACAGTTTTGTCTATACCCGACAGCTACAACTTTCCATCAGATGGTCCGTCACTCAATTTGTAATTCTAAAAGCATAGTAATAAGATTGAGTTTCATGACAGCGGTACGTTTTCAGCTGTGCGCGTGGGCGGGCACTCAATTTGTGATTCTAACGTCATAGTAATAAGATTGAATTTCATGAGACCGGTGCGCGTGGGCGGGCGGCGGCGTCGCGCGTTGTTTGTCGCGTGCTTGTGAATTGCGCGTTGTGGCGACTCGGCGTTAATTGGCCCTCGTTACCGAC